TTCTACAGATTTTATTTTTTGTTGGAAGAAATGATGTCTTAACTTGCTAAATTTATAAAATAGACTTCAATATCAAAATAAACTGAGATAATCAACGAGTATAGAGCCTGGTCATCTATCACAGTTTGAGCAGATCACAAAGCTCTACTGGTGGCAAGGGGTTATCACTCTTGATTAAACTGGTTTAGCCACGATTTCACTTACCTTTAAATGACCATCATCATCTCCTGTTACAAGAAAGTTTTCACCTGTTACTAACATACTGTATATTGGGGACCTGAAATTAAAACCTTTTGTAACAGAGGGTTAAGATGGTTCTTTCATTTTTCACTGAATTTACGAATGCAACTACATGCAATCACAACATCATTCACATTATACTCTACCCTTTTACACTATGTCTAATTTTAGGAAAATTAATTAAGTTTTGGTGGCCTTTAAAATTAGAATATTGTACCTTTTGACACTGCTGTGTAATAGGAGGCACAAAAAATGTGAAACTGAAAATGTTACACTTTGACTTGTCACTCAGGCCTATACATAACTGTTCTTTTTTGCACAAAATATATCAAAATCATGACAAATTATCTGGGTAGGACAATACTGTACATAATGAATTTATTATTGCCTGACAAGGCTTGAAGCTGACTACCAAAAACATTCTATTTAAACAATTTACACTTACAGTGCACAATAAAGTTATAGACCTTGAAAAAAAAATACATGACTTATCATTCTGGTTACAAAATTAATGGGTAATTAAAACCAATGAGTTCTTCAGTCAGAATAAAATTAGAGCCTTTTATGTGGACAACAAGAATCTTAAACATTTAATATTGTCAGTAAAATTCATACTCACTCATGGGCATTTTTCACTTTTCTCTTTACACTTCCAGTATTAAGGTCTATAGAATTAAATGATTTATCCTTAGACGCAGTATGAAGTTCGTCACCACTGGGAGAAAATCTAACAACACGACATGACTTTTTATGATGTGACAACTTCATCAATTCACTGTTCTCTGATGTGGAGGAGTAGGAATGTCTGTTGATAAATGAAATGTATAAAGACAACATTATTATAAAAAATTTATTCAAAGAAAACAAAATGCTATTAAGAAACTTCCTTACAGAAAACATCCTTGAAATAAATACACATATTAAAACTAACCTAAAACTGTTGCACAAAACAGTCTTTAACATTAGGCACATTATACCTCAGAAATCCATTTTATAACATTTTTTAGAAATGTCAAACATTGTTAAGTGAAGTTTTAACAATGGATTTAGAACATGTTAAATTCTTAACAGCTGAAGAAAGTAGAACTTTAAATGTGCAGTAATGTGTTGTAAAGGCAGCAAATGTAAACAAACTAGTATTTTGACTTCCTTATAAATGCTAATTCACATGATTATCCTTACTGCCAACAAAGCAAAAGGAGCAAAGATTGTTCACCTATATGGTAAATGAGCACAATGTATTTTTTTTTTGAAACTGTAACAAGATACCAAAATATTAAACCTTTTTTTTTTGTTAAATAAAAATGGTGGCATTTCTGAGGCTAAATGGGCCTTCAAATGAAAATTTACAGAAGAAAAAAAAATTTTTTATTTAAAGGGGAAATTTTAGAATTTGTCAATTGTTAAACTTTTAAACCCTGTTTAAATTGGTTGGGGGAAATTTCCCATAGACTTTCATTAAATTTACTTACAGGAATGTGATTTTGGAAAATTTAAGGCCCTTACCAATGAATTTGGGCAGATTTTTAAAGTAGTCTCATTCATTAAAATTTATAAAACCCGCCGGGGGGCCCCAAATTTTTTTTTAACCAAGATCTCTTAAGTAAAACCCTTGACCTTTGAAACAGTCATGGTTTTTTCACTTAAAATTGGGAAAGATAATCCAAGCAGGTGCAAATAGGAAAAGAAAATTTCCCCTCTCCCCCCTTCCTTTAGGCCCCATCCATTTTTAAAACTTCATAGAAGAAAAACCCCAACCCAATAGACGGGTAGGAAAAAACCCGCAAAATAAAATTTTAAAGTTGGAAAAATTTTAAAATAAAAAAACATAAAAATATTTTTTGCCCAGAAATTTAAATCAAAAGTAATTAACTTGAAACATAAAATCCTTTTAAAAAAAACAACCAGATACATTTTTTCCATTTTAATTAAGATTGTAATTACGAATGACCCCTTTAAAAGAACCTGGGGCAAACACCCTTTTTGGATGAAAAATTGATTCAACAAAAATTTGTAAAATTAATTCCTAAAGGCTTTTTTTTTATTTTTTGACCCTTTAAAAAAAGGAAAAAAGAACTTATAAGAAAAGTTTTGACTTTCTTGTGTGATTGCACAAAAGATTCGCTAGCCCTTTTAAAATTATTTTAAATTCTTTTACATCCCCCAATAGAAACAGAATGTTTTAATTTAAGTCCTTTTTTTTGCTTTTGACGTTTTACTTAAAATGACCCAATTTTCTTTGATTTTCTTTAAATATTTTTTAGAAAAATTTAATTTTAAAATTTTTCTGGAAAAAATTAATTTTGAGAATCATTTTTTTGGGAAATAAAAATTTTTTCAATGTTTCCCAATAAACAAAAAAAATTAGTCGGTTTTTTATGACTAGGGAAAAACTATGAAAACTTTTCAATTTTGAAAATTCTAAGGGGGTTTTTGAAAAAAAAAACATCATCTTTAAAGCTTCCCTTTTTTTTCAAAATTTTTAATTTTTTCCCAAAAGAGATGTTTTAAAATTAAAAAAAAAAATTTTTTCAAAAAAAAAATAAACTGTTACCATTTTTTTTTGGTTTTTTTCCCTTCCTGTTTTCCCTTAGGTTTAAACTTTTCAAAATTTTCCCTCTACACCCGGGTTGTGTAAATATCGTGAAAATCTTCCTAGTTTTTTCTTTTCATTTCTTTCTTTTTAGGACAATTTAAAAATTTTTGGGGGTTTCTATTTTAATTACTAAAAGGGGGAATGCTTTTTAATCTTTTTTATTCCCAAAACCCAAATTTTAAAGAGTTCATTTTAAATGTAGCCCTAAACCATCCAAGACTTTAATGTAACTACATCTGAAAATTTCTTTTTTTTCCCCTTAAAACCCAAAAGTTAAATTTGCAAAGCTAAGAAAGTTTTTAAAGAAGTTGAAAAAAAAAAAGCCACTTTTTTGATTTAAAATTGTTTTATAAAAAAGCCTTTTCAAATCAAAATTTTAAAAAAACTTGTTTTTAATAAAAATTTAAAAATGAGCACACGGGGCGGGCTTTCACTTTTTGGGAATAAAAAATTTTGGGGGGGACTACCCCAAAATTGATTTGTAATAAGTTTTAAAAACCCCAACCCCATATATTAAATATTTTGGAATTTGTTTTTAATCCTCTTTGGAATTTAAGCACAGTTATATACATGAATGTATCAAAATGATAAAAGGACTTATCTGTGAAGTTATAGAGCTCCAACTTATTATTGTAAGGAAACTTTGTAACCCAAAGATTAAGTATTTTTTGAAAACAGAAATTCATTATCTACATGCATTTTCAGTTGACCACATACTTTTACCATGGATGAATTATACATGCATAAGAAAGCAGTGTGGCACGAGTGATTTTAAAATAACATAACAACCGAGTATTCATTGATCTATAATCCATAGACTTATACAGGAAATGTTAAAAACGTACAATAGACATTCTTCAAGAGATAAAATAGGCAAAAGTCAATTAAAATCCAAATTGTCCTTTATCTTCACATTAGAGTCACAGCCAGGCGGGGGCAACGCTCGAATTTTTACTTTCTCTAAAAGCAAACAAAGAAATGCTTGAACAAAATATTAACGTTTCCTTTTTATAAAATTAATCGGTCTGTCTTGTCACATTAGTTTTATCTATATATTTTACACGTGGTGGAGTCACATAGTGACACGTGGTGGTGTCACGTGGTTGACACATGGTGTCAAGTGGTGGTGTCACATGGTGGTGTCACATGGTAGTCTATATATTTTAAATAGAAACACTCAATTCTATAAATAGAAAATTCTATAAATAGAAACACGCAATTCTATAAATAGAAAATTCTATAGATACACGTGGTGGAGTCACGTGGTGACACTTGTTGGTGTCATATGGTTGACACATGGTGTCACGTGGTGGAGTCACATGGTGGTGCCACATGGTGGTGTCATATGGTGGAGTCATGTGGTGTCGTGGTGGTGTCACGTGGCGGTGACACATGATGGTGGTGTCACGTGCTGGTGGTGTCACGTAGTTCTATTTTATAAATATAAACACGCAATTCTATAAATAGAAAATTCTAAAAATAGATACACGTGGTGGAGTCACGTGGTGACACGTGGTGGTGTCACGTGGTTGACACATGGTGTCAAGTGGTGGTGTCACATGGTGGTGTCACGTGGTAGTCTATATATTTTAAATAGAAACACGCAATTCTATAAATAGAAAATTCTATAAATAGAAACACGCAATTCTATAAATAGAAAATTCTATAGATACATGTGGTGGAGTCACATGGTGACACGTGTTGGTGTCATGTGGTTGACACATGGTGTCATGTAGTGGTATCACATGGTGGAGTCAGGTGGTGGTGTCACATGGTGGAGTCATATGGTGGAGTCATGTGGTGGTGTCACGTGGCGGTGACACATGATGGTGGTGTCACGTGGTGAGTGGTGGCACGTGGTGGTGGTGTCACGTAGTGGTCACGTATTTTGAAGTTCTGAAGTTGGGATCATTGTGAGGTCAAAATTTCATTATGGTAAATTTTTTCCCTCGTCCATTGGTATATTATGTCAAAACAACTTAGTTTTCATAGTGAAGATTTAAATTGTATTCTCACAGTACAAAGGAAAAGTACTTGCTGATATATTGTTATAGAGGCATTTACAAGGCTCATATATCATTAAACCTCAGACTGAAATTTGGTTTCTCTTATACAGAAAATATTTATTATTTTCCAGTGTCAGTTAAAATATCAACAAAACAAGTCAACATATATACTATGATCTATTACCAAAATAGAATACATGTACATATATATAAATATTATTGCAGACTAATTTCAAACACTTTATATCTGACACAACATTATGGTCACTGGCTTTAAGGTAAATTAGTTCCTGTCACTGCTAAAATCTGGTATCAGCTGTCTGTTTCCCGGCTAGTTTCTATAGCAGCTTGTTGGAGAACAGGAAGTAAGAGCTGGAAACCATCTTGGATGTATGAACTGCTGTTGCTGGCCTGAAATATACAGTCAGTTTAGAATAACAAAATATTAAGTAAAGTCTATTAAATTTATGAAACAATTATGGCATATAACCAAGTTCCCTTGCAGGGTTTCAATTTCTGATGATCTAACAAAAAAAGCATATCATCTTTTATATGATCACCATTTCCCTTCTTACTTAATCACATTTATCTTAGCTAAACAAAACATAATGCATTCATAAAACACCAATGAACCCATCACATATCAATAAATAGATTATTAATAAGAACAGTAATGTTACTCAGTCAAATATAGACTAGACAAACATAATAAATTTTTGCCAGAAAACAAGGGTTATTATTATTTCTTACCTCTAAATAAATATTTGTGACAAACTGGTTCAACTCTCTTTCATCACTGATCTCCTGTAATAACAATAATTTGAGAAATATTACTTTGGTTTATCTGGTCTTTTATTTCCTAGCACAGAAAATTGTGTTTTTAACTGGTAACCTGCTGAATTTGTGTAAAAGAATTGTCCTGCATTTGATTTGGATATGTATGTTCCTAATCTAAGGGATTTCAATAACAAATTACATAACTTGTGAGTTGCCAACTGTGCTGCCAACAGTATGGAGCCTGGTTAAATTCATGCATGTGCATCATGGACTGGCTGGCTCTATACTGGTGACAAAGGCTAATCATTTTCATGTCCAGCCCAGTAAGTAGTGTTGACATAATTTTCAACCATTAATCACTAAATATGAGAAAATAATAAACATCCAGTAGGATAGATTGCAGCAATAAAGATTTGAGAAAATGATATTTACCTGCTTGTTGAGGCATTCTGAATATTTAGTTGATATCATCCCAATCTCAGCAGTCATCACCTGTGACAACCTGAAATACATATGAATAGGTTTAACTACATATGTATGGTTATAACTACAAATCTGTAAAATATCTTTAGTTTGAACAGCATAATTGATCTCAATTTCAAAATTGATTAATGTTATCCAGGCAGTCATAGAGTTGTTCAAATTGTATGAAAAGATGTAACCCTTTCTGATTTTCAAACAATTTACCTTAAACTTATTCTTTTACCAACATTGAATTTTTAAGTCCAGAAAGATGCACAAATGTACTAAATTGAATTTTTGGTTACTTGCCCAAATAAATGGGTTCTCATTAAAAAGTATGAATTTCATTCACTTTAGATATTGTTTCCAATTGGATAGAAAAGCAAGTTTGAAACAAATTTCTGACGAGTTTTGAAGAAGGACGTTAATTTACAATAAAACTTAACCTTACATCCATGCAAATGCTGGTGCTTACATAAGAAATACATTGTATACTAATTGCTCCACCTTTTTCTGTAAAAAGTGGAGAATAAAATAGAGTATCAAGAAATGTTTTACCTTAACAAAGTTTTACTACAATCAATGAAATTAACATCTGGAGATTTCTTTATGAGTATCAGTTCACCAGTCTTGTGAAAATGTTCTATACATTTTGACGTCATCTCTGCTAAACTACTGATAGCAAGTCTATGTATCTCCTACAAAAACATAACCAAAGGAATTTTATTAAAAATTCATGTGAATATTTCAGCCATCAAAAAATCTGTATAGTATAAAGAGGATATTGACAGAGATAGGTTAAATGCTTAATGTATTGAACTACAATGTATATGTGGCTCAATACTATTTTATTTAATGAGTTCAATAAATTAATTATTGACTCAAGAAGCTACAGGAATATAATACATGTATTGTAATATATAATATCCTACCGCTTTTACAGAGTTACTAAAGTGACATGGGTATGTGATCAATTGAAATATGGTTTTAACTTCCATACTTTTGTTTCAATTCAAATCAAAATCTGTAAGACAGATTTTGAATCTGGTTTTATAACATAGATCTTCCTTTACATTTGATAAAAGTAACATCATGATATTAGAATAGTATAACCTTTTTAACTATCTCCATAAATTGTCATCAAATGATATCACACAAGTACATAAAATGATAACAAAATAAAAATTCTCAAATTTTTTTCTACACTAAAGTGAAAAATAAAACCTCCTTGGAAGCACATGTTTTGGGTTTTTTTTTTTACAAATTTTTACAAACCTTACAGCAAATTGTTGTTTACTATAATTGTTAGACATTTAACATTAGACAAAAATCAAAGTTGACATGGTTGACAGGAATGTTCAATATATTAATCATGTCATTTAGCTTAAGATCTCATTTAATGGCTAATTGCTCCACTTGTCTCATAAAGAAGTAAGAATAGATTATTTACCTTGATATCTTTTGTAGCTTCAGCATCACAACATTCTGTTAATTTTACTCCAATACTGTCACAAGTCTGAAAATATGTTCAAAAACATTTCATTATCATCACCTTAACATGCTGAATTTCTGAAATAGCTTTGTCCAGCTTTAAAATTGGTATAGTCTATTCAAAGTTGAAGGGATGTCAATATCAAAATACCAAACAGTATAGGGCCCAGTCAGATTGTGAAGCTGTGTAGACTGGCCTAGCTCTATACTGTTGATTAAGGCTAACCACTTCTGGTTGAAGTAGGCTAAGGTTTAATGCAACTTTTCATTCATCAGACTGAGAGTCAAGAAGAAATCATTTTATAACTTGTCAGATTTTGAATGTCTTATTCCTATTTTATAAAACTAGAACTGCTGGATGTGATTTATATACAAAGCCCTACTGAGAAAATGTTACACTCTGTCAATAAGCTGGATTCCTTTTTTTTTTACATCAATTCAAGTTTTAGTCTCAAAGCAATTGTAAAGTCATGTGCTGATTTAACCATATTGTAACAGATAGCCAGTCTTTTCTTCAAAAATTTTACTTTCAGTGATGGCATTATATGTATGTACATGTTGCTTGTTATTGTAGTAAAAATAGCCCTGACATAATTTTTATGATCCTACCTGTAGCAATTTCTCAGGAGTCGTTCCAAGATTCAACTCCTGAAGTAAATCTTTAACTAGGGGCGTAAAATCATGCTCTGCGTCACTCTCTTCTGACTCGTCCGTTTCAAACATATGTTTTATCTGTAGTAAGACAGGTTTCAACTCTGCCAAAGCCTCTGATGACATTGCATTAAGGTGGACATTGACCCGCTTTTCACTTTGATTTGACAACATCTCAAGTGCTTCTAAATGGGCAAGTCCTAGAGTAGACAAATTAAAACATAAATCGTAATCTTCACATGTATAAGGACATACAATTAATCATTATTACAGAATTTTGCTACATACATACTATGTGTGGTAAAGAATCTGAACTTAATGATCATCTTTTGGTTTGTAGGAATCAACTATAAATAAATGTATAAACTGACCATTACATTATTAAAATATAAAGACAGGGAATTCCCCAGGAATTTTTTTAAGCGCTACATTTTTTGAATTAGACGGGGGTGGGTGCGGGAGGGGGTGTTGACCCCCATACCGCATGTCGAAATTTTTTGCCATTTTAGGTGTCAATATACTGCTGTGGGCTGTTTTAAAACAAATAATGAAAGCTTTTCACTTGATAAACATTTTCTTAATTTTTATTATTTATTTTTTCCATATCCAACAATTCAAATAAATAAACAATTATATATAAACACAAGTTCACAACATGTGATCAACATTTATATGTATGTGTGTGTCCCATTTAAATGAGTATATTTCAGTTTTTTTTTCTTCATTAACATCATTAAAAGTGGGCCTGTCATCTAGGTTTGTTGTCCTTCCATGCCTTGACTGCCTTCTCAAAGTTGAAAGATTCTAATGGGGGTCCTTGAAGGGACAGGCAGCTGAATCCTCGCTCACAATCTGAAATTAATAATCATTTATGTTAACCTCATGTCATTTATTTATTTTGTTTGTTTGCTATGAATTTTTGAAAATTTAAAACTTCTAGCCTGTTTAAACTTAACGAAGTCAAAAAAATTTATATTTGAAATGTTGAAAAACTTCTAGCAAAGTGTTACACATCTGCAACTGTTCATTGGAATTTCATTAATGTTCAAGAATTAATCAATTTAATAATAATTACCTGCAGTAGAGGTTGGGAGGAGGAGACCCACAGCAGCAATTCTTTAAAGAGCTGGATGACTGGTAGAAAGGTTGCCAGTAATCCAGATCATGGTCTGGTCGGCTGACTGATCAATCCCCTCTAGACTGGCACGTACCTGGTGCCAGTGGCTGCGGCACTGCTCCATATCTACACCAAAGTGCCTGGCCAGCTCCTGTATGTCCTGACAAACCAATGCTAAGGGGCATGGACAGTTGATTGCACTTCACAAAGCTGTCCATCTGCAAAATTATTTTTTTTTTCATTTTGGGGATTCAGTTAACAGAAACAGTTTACAAGATATTTTTACTCTTTTTTTTTCAATTAAAAAAGAAAATGACCAATGTCTCTAAGTGGGATTGTTGATGTAAAGTTTTTGTTGTTGTTTTCACTCAGTTGCAAGTTGATAATAAACAGTCGTAAATGTTTTCAATGTTAAAGTAGCCATCAACCAAATTTATTCTGAATATCTATGCAGTTTAATCCAAGTAAAATACGATTATCATGTATATATTAAATAGCAAAATGATCCTGAGACAGTTTCAACGACATTGCTCACAAAAACTCTTTAATTGATAGTGAACTAGGCTTCCCTTATTCATGTTAGACATATTATTTTTTGAAATCTTAATACTACAGTACTGCTTAGACGTTACGGTCGTAAGAAAGTGAAAGATGAAATTAAACATTACACTTATATCAAGACAATTAACCCATTCATCCCTAAATATCAAACTGTTATATCGCATGTCAATTAATGCCAATTATACTATCAAAACAATAAAATGTATTTCACCTACCTGAAACATGTAAATATCACACATGCCGCGGTTAAATTGCACCCATCTCAATACACGGTAATTGACAACACCTGAAAGTGCACCAACAGTCGTCTGCAGACATCGATGACAGGTGTCTGTGACGTCACACAGTCTCAAGGCAATCAGTGTATCGGGTTGTGTATACGCCTCGGGTAATTATCTACACAGGACATGTATATTGGCTTGTTTATTTGGCTAATTGGGGTTAACTTATAGACACAATAGAAAGGAATATCGGTCATTTTTTAAAGCGCTATGATAATTTTAAGCGCATCGGGATTTCTTGTTCTGAAATTTTAGCGCATCGGTGCCGATGCGCTAAAAGCGTCTGGGGAATTCCCTGATAAAGAGTCAACTGTCTTAACAGTTTATATTCAAACAAGACTATATAGATGAAGACTAACCATGGAAATCATCAAACAACGAGCCAAAGTGAGCTTTACGAGCTTCCTCGGATTCCCTCTGATATTCAGCCTCAGCCTCATGTTGCTCTTTTGCATCTCGTAATATTGCTGACAAGTTCGGCTTGTTACCCCTGTCACGGAGAAAACCTCGTGCCTTCTTTAAACCAGGATCTTGCTCATTTATGACATCAAATGTTTTCTTCCCAAGTGTTTCTAGAACGTCCAGACTGCCTGTCACTAAACTCTTGCCCTTTAAAACATTCACATAAACTTGTTTTTAAATGAATATTAAATCAAGAAATTAGAGCAACATGGTTGCAACTCCTTCTTTACATTACATTAGTAACAACTGTTTTGTGTATTATAATGCACACAGAGAAACTGACCTAAAATAAGTTAAGCAGACAAATTTTATTTTGATCAAGTACAGCATTACTTATAAGCGAACTGTAGAAGAAGATGGAAATGTCGGCACAAATAGCATACTGGTAATATGAAACAGGATAGTAGGAAAATGTATTTTTAGACTCAATGACCTTGAATGCACTGACCTTCAACCCCATAAAAGGTAGAAGTCTATGCAAAGTTATGACATGTGATGGAAGGAAGGTCAAGGGAGGGACAAATGGACAATTAGCAATTACATTCTCTAAGAATTTTTTTTCTGTAATTTAAACAAGGAAAATTATTCAATATCAATAAATAACAAAATATTTAGTAAATTCAAATAACAAAACAATTACAAGGTCTGATTATCTGTTTCATTAATGTCATAGCCCCCTGTTTAAACTGGATTTGAACTTTCTACAATCCTGTTGGTTTATTGTTCAAATGAGTGACATAAATATTTAGAATTCCTAGAAATAAATAAATTAAAATCTAAAAATTTCAAATTCTACAATAGGCCTTGATGATTATTTGATAATTTTATACAGGAGAAAATAAGAAATTGTTGGAACAAGCATTACTGTATTTTCCACCATTTTTGAAATATTTGAAACTCCCCATGCCGAAAACCAGCTATCACTTGACTGGTTATCTTCTGTTTTTTCTTTTTTAGCAGTCTGGTTATCTTCTGTTTTTCCACCTTCAGCAGACTGTGTTATTTCAGGGCTTTCTGGTGTTTTCTTGGCCTGGTTCTCTGACTTGCCCTCATTTCTACTATTATCTTCAGCTTCAGCTGGTTCCCCATCTGTACAAGTACATTGAAAGAATATTTTATCAAAAGGAAAGATACAGAAGCTATATTTTTATTCAGTGTACCAATCATATATACATGTATTCCATCAGGTAAACATAGTCACCAGATGTGATGATAACACAAGTGGCACAGCCACATGTTACAATGTAACAGATGGTGTTCAGGAATTAATTATCATTTGCTCTTTTACATTTACAATTAACAATCTCTATTATTTTTGCACTTTTTCAATTGTTTCAATAAAACTGACTTTTGCTGCTTAAAGACATATACTTTCCTTCATAAGCTGATCATAGCATTAAACATGCATCTTTTGCAATTTTTTCTATTTTAAATGCAGCATCTGATGTATACAAATTTTATTTCTTAGGCTTTTTGACCTCAGTGGAGCTCCTTTAATAGATTTTGTTTCATATAACATAAAGTGCACAAATACTAATATGCTGGAAGTTAATCTGGAAATCTATATTCAGAAGTGTATTTACACAATATTTCTATGATTTATTATAAAGTATATATTACAATCAATATCATTAACTTTTAGCTATAAATAATATCTAATACAAAGAAAAATATTCCATACATACATAACAAATGTTGTGAATAAAAAGAGATTATTTAATTTTATTCATAAAATATGGCGCCATATCATTCAAATATATTTCATATTTGTGAAAACTAAATATGAAATATAAATATGAAAGTGGGCGGAGTCAAAACTCATATGTATTTTAAGGGACTTCTTTTGCCTTTTTGTTTAAAAAGTCTGATAAATAAAAAATAAATTTTTGTTAAATTTTGTTTTGAAAACTATCTAGAATGATAGAAAATGGTCTAACTAAGAAAATAAATCCGAACACTGATAATTCAGGCATTAACGCTGTACAGATGTTTAAAGAGTTGTTAATGTGACGTCACAATATAGTGCCAAACATTGCATACAAAACAAGACCCATCTATAAAAATAAATATATTACTGCACGCTGTAAAATTGCAGTTGCGTAGCAAGCAAGGAGATTCGTAACCATTTTTCTTTGATTATGAAATTAAATAACAAGAACTGTCGGAGGACAGTAACGCTCGACTATTCGAAAATTTGTCACAAGGGTGTTTCATTGAGTATAATAATGCTTACCTATATGAATACATAAAATTGTCCGAAAAGGTACAAACCCTTCAAGTTTCAATACATTCCCTTCAGTAGTTATGGAGATACAAGCTTACACACAAAAACTTAACCAAGAATTTATGAATCGAAAAAGGGGCATAATTATGCAAAAAGTAAATCAGAGTTATGGGATTTGTGCCAATCATCTTAAATAATCACAGACAACAAGAGTGTGAAGTTTCAATCCATTCCCTTCAGTAGTTATGGAGATACCAGCTTACACGCAAAAACTTAACCAAGAATTTCTAATTCAAAAAAGGGGAATAATTATGCAAAAAAGCAAATCAGAGTTATGGGACTTGTGCCAATCATCTTAGATAATCACAGAGACCAAGTGTGTGAAGTTTCAATTCATTCCCTTCAGTAGTTATGGAGATACCAGCTTACACGCAAAAACTTAACCAAGAATTTCTAAGTCGAAAAAGGGGCATAATTATGTAAAAAAGCAAATCAGAGTTATGGGACTTGTGCCAATCATCTTAGATAATCACAGAGAACAAGTGTGTGAAGTTTCAATCCATTCCCTTCAGTAGTTATGGAGATACCAGCTTACATGCAAAAACTTAACCAAGAATTTCTAAGTCAAAAAAGGGGCATAATTATGTAAAAAAGCAAATCAGAGTTATGGGACTTGTGCCAATCATCTTAGATAATCACAGAGAACAAGTGTGTGAAGTTTCAATCCATTCCCTTCAGTAGTTATGGAGATACCAGCTTACACGCAAAAACTTAACCAAGAATTTCTAAGTCCAAAAAGGGGCATAATTATGTAAAAAAGCAAATCGGAGTTATGGGACTTGTGCCAATCATCTTAGATAATCACAGAGAACAAGTGTGTGAAGTTTCAATCCATTCCCTTCAGTAGTTATGAAGATACCAGCTTACATACAAAAACTTAACCAAGAATTTCTAAGTCGAAAAAGGGGCATAATTATGAAAAAAAAGCAAATCAGAGTTATGGGACTTGTGCCAATCATCTTAGATAATCACAGAGAACAAGTGTGTGAAGTTTCAATCCATTCCCTTCAGTAGTTATGGAGATACCAGCTTACATACAAAAACTTAACCACAGGGATGCCGACTCCGATGCCGAAGCCGACAAATGGGTGACTGCATTAGCTCGATTATTCTGCGAATAGTTGAGCTAAAAAGGGTTGTTTTGTTTTCGTTTTTCATGAAATCTTTTTATATATATTTTCACTCAACATGATAAAATACCACATATTTTCACTTGCCGTCCTGGCTCGTCAAAAGATGTGGTATTTCATCATGTTGAGTGAAAATATATTCCATATTTCACTCAAACGAAAAAGCGTCCTCTTAATATTTTCATTATCACACTAAACATATACATTGTACCAAATATTGATGTGTACATTCTTAAAAACTCTCAACTAAATCGTCCGTGTTTAAAATATCAGCTTCTTACTTGTATCATTAAAATTAGCTAGACTTTCACACAAATGTTCAATATTAATGTACACTACCTTCTGCAGATTTCTGTGTTTCCTGCAAGTCCTCTTCCCTTTCTTTCTCTACTTTCTGGGCAAGCTCTTCTGGATTAGGAACATTTAAAGTGGATTCAACAGTTTCCATCATTGTATGTAAACCTTCACCTATAAATCATAGACATTTCAACATATTAGTGAACTATAAACAATTCAACACATTACTGTATCATGTGTCCTAATTCTCAATGATCTGATAAGTGTTATATCAAACTGCAATGTTAATGATAATATTAGATATAAAACACTTACCAACTTGATGTGTAAATGTTGATACTGAACTTGATGCTACCTCCAGTAATGAAGATCCCCATCCCCAACTCCAACTACTCTATAGATAGATATAAATATGTACATGACTGACAAGAAAATAATGTGATGTTTAATATGAATGTACATTCAGTAGTTGTGGATATATTTTGCTTCTAGGAGTTTTCTTAATTAAAGATGGGGTACAATTCAGTCCAAAATCCATGCTAGAGCCCTTAAACAATGATCTACTATTATGACTACAAAACCATGTGTGAAGATGCATGATTTTATATCTTTAATGAGATAAAACCACATTCAAATTCTTAACCAATATATTTACTAATTAATGATATGAAGTTACACTGATACACAGGCGGTTGGACATTCTAGCTAAAAAAGAAGTAATTTGTCAAAAAATACAATTCTTTGACAAAATTGATCATTCAAAAAGCAGATCATCCAGATACACATGTATGCACTTAAGGTATGAGCCCCCTAATGGGCACTATAAGGAACTATAAAATTGACAACATAGGTCAGTTATATACCTTAAAAGACACAATAATGCAAAATTTAAACAAAGTTTACTGTATGGTTTACGAGTTATGGAGATTTTTCGTAAGTAAAACTTGGCTATTAGAAGGGCTCTTTTTCAGAAATGAGAAACTCTAAATATTCTATTTTATAATCATTATGAAAAAATGTTTTCCTATAGAAAATTTTTGAGAAACAACTAATAGCATTCAGCTAACAAATGACCCAGCAAAATTATTGTTTCTACTCAAAATGTTTGAAATATGTATATAAATGTTACCCTACCCCACCCATTTTAAGTACTTGTTTGATCATTTTTCTACTTTGAGGGCCTTATTCAAAATATCCCTAAAATTTACTCAAATCAGGGGCTATTTTCAAAGTTTGCATAAATTTTCTTAAAAGTATATTGGTTGCGCTTGTCAAATATAAAATACTTTTACCGTCTAGTTTTTATTTTATTTGACTTTGAAAATATCAGGTACCATATTTGATAAAAAATTTGGCACAATTTAGCCAATAAATCCCAATAATAATTTCATAATTAAAATGAAACACTTTTTTCTTCTCAAGAGTGATATGAGAGACACAAATAATGTTCAAAGGGAAAAAAAAGAAAGAAAAAAAAAGTTGCCGCTTCTGGGGCTTGAACCCACGCCCCTCAGTTACAATGCAGTTGACAGTCGTTCTAGCCTATTTAAATACTCTTCAAAGTGGAGGTAATGCATTAGGTGGATCATACCTTAAATAATTGAGGTCATATTCAAAGTATCTCAAAAAGAAATATTATTGAATCATTAATTACTTTAACCAAAAGTACATGTACATCATGCAATGCTACCTTTTTGAGCTTCTTCAAATCTGGATCAATATAACAATGCTTTAATAATATAGGTGGATTGGTATAAGATGACATACTGCTATAAGAAAAGTTAAACAGTGCATAGACCAGAAGTCATTACAATGGGTTTGATAAAAGTTGTTATCTTTTGCTGAACTAATAAAAACTACCTTAGTTTGTTTAGCATTCCCAGCAAGTTTATCAAGCACTGCCTCCTGTTTTTCAGTATGATCTGGATCCAATCTTGTTATACTTTGTGATGAAGGAGACTTTATCAAATCTGCTTTATCTGCTACAGAAAGGCTGCTAGATGATTCTGATGTATTTTCTGGCTTCGGCTCTGTACTTGATGAACTTGTTGGATCAATAACTTTATCTAATGAGGAAGCTTTAATTTCATTTTTGTCTTTTTCATTTTTGTCTATTTCAGATGCATTGACATTATCTTCTGGTCTTAATTTATCAGAATTTACACTCTCTGTTTCTACTGTCTCCTTCTTTTCAGCACTTTTATCGGAAGTTAAAGATTTATTTTCTGTGATTTCAGAAGGAACACTTTCCACCTCTGTTTCATTTGTTTCTTTCATAGCACTTTTTTCAATATTGTCTTCAGTGATATCAACTGCTTCTTTACTGCTGGGTATACTCTCTACCTGACTTGCTTTACCTTTCTTGCCTTTCCTTTTTCCTTTCTTACCACCACCACCACCCTGGTTCTTTTGCCCAGCATCAGTGTTTTTTCCTTTCTTTTCACCTTCCCCACCTACAGCCTTTGAACTCTTCTCAGATTCCTTCCTGTCTTTTGCACTTTGTTTAGCTGTATTTTGTGCAGATGATTTACTACTTGTAACAGCATCCTTGTCTGGCTTTCCATCCCCTTTACTACCTTCTACAACTTTGTGAGGCTCCTTTGAGGCTATGTTATCAATGCCTGAAAAATTTGCAAAATAAGTTTTAAATTAAAACATTCAAGCTGGATGTTATTTGATATTTACATGCATGTATGCATGGTATTATGAACGTTTAAAACAAACAAACATATTTTTTTTCTATTCAAAATATGAATATGCATATGCATTTTCACTTGCATTTACATTTTAAAAATGGTTATTCATTACTTATCTAGCCATATGAATATTAACAAAAATTCAAGACAATCAAGAAGTTTAAAGTAAAATCCCTCAATAAGAATACTGGCTGCAGGCATATGTATGTACTTTGGTTGTAGTTATGACTATAATTCAATTTTTCATAATGTGAATACAAAATATTTTCTTTTTAAACCGAGCATAATACTTATCACAAATAAAATAAAACCTATTTATATCAGAACTTGAGTTTAGTTCTTACCACACACAATGTACTATAATAATAACTTCTAATGGATAGCGTTTTTTAAATTGAATGAATTTAATTAATGGCATTCAATCAAAGACTTATGATGAAAATTTCGCTCTTGGAGTATATCAATATGAACCCAAATAAAAGTTGGTATGTGCCAAACTATAAGGCAGATGCTTACCAGATGAGCTTGTTACAATTTCCCCTTCATCTGCACTAGCAAAATCTTCCTCGGAGTCGGACATTATGTTTGTTTTATGTTCTCTGAAATTGATAAAGCAAATGATATAAATGTATTATATAAAATATCACTTAAGAGCTGAAGAATTTTTTAATTTAACACTAATTGCCATGGGTTAAGTTTTTTTCCCAACAGAACTGCAAAAGAAGCAAGTAATCACTGTACTGTAAAAGAAGCATAATTTATTAAATGAGTCTTATGAGAATTCAAATTTCTTTAAACAGCTTACTTATACAAACAATTTAACATTTGATGATAGCTTAATCAATTGTGAAATAATCTTGATAATGTGTTTTGTTATCTTTTAGTGTAAGTAACATGTTACATTTGGCTTTTCATTTCATGTTTCATTGATTCTTTTTCAAAGTTCACTAAAATGATAATTTAGCAACACCAAGTCACATTCTTTTCACTAATTTCATTTTGTAAATGAGCTGTAACAGATTTAAATTCTGATATCAAATGTTATAATCAATATGATCAAAGATCCAAATGGTGCAAATGTGATGGACGGTGTGAATATTAAGAAGAAATGTAACCCGGGATGAGTTTGGAGTAATGTTTAAATGGCAACATATAACTGATTGTAGGAGAAAACCTCACCAGAAAATTGTCCCACTTGAGAAAATTTAATGCTAGAAAATTTTGGAATTGGTTTATGTCAGTCTTTGTTAAATTTACAGGATGTTCTTTGTCTTTAAAAAAGACCATAGGTCAGACCCCTGCCAACTACAGGCCAATTCTAATTCATTATGATTAACATGATGTGAGTGTGAGTGTAACAGTGTGTAACATAGTGTGAGTTATGGAATATTTCACCAACCATTACCTTCAATATATTCTTAGGGAAAAAACAAGTCATGTGTGACCCAAAGTTCTACTGAACTAGTTGTGCTGATAAATAACGTAGTCACCTTCCTGTTGGTCAAGAAATTTCTTGATAACTGAATGCAGTCATTTTTGTTCTTAATGGCAGCAGCTCTCAGCCCATCCAAACAGAGACATAGATAACATCTACATCTCTGATCCAAGGACCCCTCCTGTTTATTACTTATATAAATGACCTTTTACAAAATATCAATATCTAGGTCAGTCGATACTGCAGTATGCATTGATCTGACATTTGCTTATCTATCAGTACACTCAAATATGACCTAAAACTTTAAGAAAAGTGGGAGTCAGTTTGTTCTGTGCAGTCATATCAAGCAATAAACATGTCTCATAGGGAGGATGGGGGTCGGGACTGACAAATGTCCAATATCTAAAATCTTTAGGGGGAGTTGTTTGAGGATGTTAATTTCCACCGCAGCAAAATATAGGGACAAAGGTCTGACGGCAAATGCCATGTGCAGAAAATATCCTAGAATTTTTTAGTGTATAGATCGACAGTATGGTTGAATAGGATGCAATTGCTATACTGTATACTTAACAGCTATTAATTAAGGCATTCATAATATGTCACAAGCCAAACGTGTGAATGACAATTGTCACCTTGCTCAAACAGTGTCAAAGCTTGATCATGATTGGTTGATAAAAGCACCTGGAAGTATTATTGCATTTCAACACTTTATGTCTCGTTACTCTCGTAAGTTAATGATTCACACAGTAGATCTAGGTCTAATAAATGGCACTGCAGTTCATGAAATTCAGACTTCAGTTAACATAATCAGCAAATGATAAAAATCTGTCATTGCGCCCATTAATTATAAATACATGCATCTTATTTGAAACAACAATGTACACAATTTAACAGATCGTGTAAATAAGGGTAAATTGGTTGCCAAATTTGTACCTCTTCCACGTCACTTCATCACCATCATCATTCTTGTTTACAAATTTTCTGAGGTTGAATGACACTAAATGCTGTCCTTGTATCTAATCGTGTCGTACCGAACCAATATCGTACCAAATACAATGAACGTTGAATTTTTTAATAGTACAAATGGTGTGCTTCATAAAGAGGAGCAGAGACATTTTGTTCAGAAAAGAGGGTAGTGAAAGGAATAAGATTCATTTTTTATGATTATGATCAAAACATAATTTTAAGCATGACAAACTCATCACCATATTGTTTGTACTTATATACAATGCATTATAAATACATAAATGAATTAAATATGTCATGAACATTTATCTGAAAAATAATGGTATATGAAATGTGAGAATGTTTAATATATGAGACAGGAAATTACTTACAAAGCATTTGTATATAAAACATGATATAAGTATTTTTCTCTTGCTTTACCTAATAGGAAGTGGCTAGCCGTACGGGCCCGTACGGCTAGCCAAAAGTTCTAGCCGTACGTGAGTCACGTACGACTAGCCTGGACACGCTGTATTGGCTAGCCGTACGGCACTTTTCAAAATTAGATGGAAGTCGAAAATGCATATGCTATTTTGTGTCTTTAAACGACGATTTTAATCAAATCTCCGCATTTGTCCTAGTGTGTTCACTTTAATAAAGATCCTCCGCAATTTTGCACACAAAAAAAAATGAATACGAGTAAGCGTTGTATAATCTATCTTAAAAAAATTAAGTGTCAAAGTTGCATGTTATAATTAACGTCCTTAATTTTCATGCTTATGATTTGTATGAAAGATGAATTGTTAAATCTGTTAATTAAGCACATGGATCGAATAAATAATGATCGGAGGGGAATAAATAAATAAATAAAAAGAATATTTAAAAAAAAAACGGTGAAAAGGAGAAATAATTTAATAATGCAAACTTCTATACTGTACCGTCGGTAATTGACGCAATTATCAGAGCCAAACAACAATTATTTTCGGTGTTTTTTTTTTGTGTTTTTTTTTTTTTCAATTTAAAAATTGAACTTAATGAAACAAAAAAGGATTATTATCAACATTTTGTAAACTATTTCAATTGATGTTATTTAACTGCAACCAAACGCTATTTTTTCTCGACGTCTTGAGATGACAAAGTACATTCTTTACTGTAGACAGCACGTCGATTAATCTCTAAAAAGTAAACATTCTTGACTAAAATCCTCGCTTAAAGTCATAATTAACATATGCACTTTCGCCTTCCATATATTTTTGAAAAGTGCCGTACGGCTAGCCAATACAGTGTGTCCTGGCTAGTCGTACGTGACTCGCATACGGCTAGAACATTTGGCTAGCCGTACGGGCCCGTACGGCTAGCCACTTCCTACCTAATATTATCATATTAAATCTACAATAAATTTGTTTAATTTTGGGGAGTTCCGTGGAGTAGAGCCCACGAATAAAATAAAAAAAGAGAAGAAAACAACGTTTGTCACTTACATGCACAACTTAAAGACTGAAATATAGTTTTGTTAAAGGAACTACACTGAGGTCTAAAAGCCTAAAATATAAAATTTGAGTTTCTAATAAGATCAGCTGAGCTGAGCCATTTAGAGCAGAAAGAAACTAAAAGGTTGTAAAGAAATATACTTGGAAACAAATGGAAAAACGTGCATTTTTGTGCTATTCTTAGTCCGTTTCAACGCTTATCATTTTTTACAACAAGAGCTGTCGGTAGGCCAGCAACGCTCGACTATTCTTAGTGCTTGATAGTAAAAAAAATGCTTGATGCAGTAACCTCCTCCTGTTTACAGGTTGGGGTCATGATGGTGAACAAGTGTGCAAAGTTTCAAAGCAATCTGTAAATGGACTTTGAAAATATTTGAACTTTTACAAAAACTTTAACGTAAATTCTAAGTCGAAAAAGGGGCATAATTCTGTCAAAATGCTTGATAGAGTTACCTCCTTCTGTCTACAGGTTGGGGTCATGATGGTGATCAAGTGTGCAAAGTTTCAAAGCCATATGTCAATGGACTTTGAAAATATTTGAACTATTACAAAAACTTTAACATAAGTGGTTACGCCGACGCAGACGCCTACGCAGACGCCGACGCCGACGCTCGGGTGACTACAATAGCTCTACTTATTCTTATCGAATAGTTGAGCTAATAAGAAAAATTATTCCGGTAAAACAGAGTGAGCGAATTACCTGAAATTTGGACACAAGATATTGGCATGGACCTAAATCATATGGGATATTATAAGCTCGAAAAATAGTTATCAGTCCAGTCATGCCAATTAAACAACATAGCTCAGTGGAGTCCCTTAAATTCTGATCTCTTTCAACTCTTAATTAAATACCTATGACATTCACTCAATTGGGAAATAGAATCTATTTGAAAAGGATAGTGATTGTGAAATGCGTTTACTAAAACAACTTGGTCAACAAGAAAAAAGGATAATTAGACATACCATGCAAACTGATCTCTTTTCTAATTCAATAATGTATTTCCTGAAACCACGGAACTGTATAACATTACTTACATTACATTACATTACTTACTCAAGGAATGTCAATTAGTTGAATATGAACTTAGGTTACACAACACAACATCAAGACTTGGACGGTTTTCGGTTTGATTAAAACGTAATTTGAAACACTGCCCCAAAACAGTAATAGAATCTGCACTTACCTGTAGTTAATTTGTTACTGGTAGACCCCAAACTGGAACAGCTCAATCATCTGAAACCACCAGTATTACACGCAAATAAAAAAATTAAATAATAGGCATAGGAATGCTACAAGTTCGTTCTCGTCAAACCTTTCATTAAAATCTGCTCCCTACTTGTAAAACATTTAGAAGTGTTCAACCAAGTTATCGATTGACGACAAGGACGGTCACATTTTCTATTCGTTAGAAACTTCAAACATGGCTTACGAGGTATATTTTTTTTACAAATATAAAATTATACTGAATTTGAAGTAACGATTCCATTAATTGTTTGACATGATGATAAGCATTTGATGTTTCAAGTATAGGAATACTTTATATGATTTTGTTTTCGTCTGGATACAGCTAACTGACTTGTTTCAATCGTAATTTTCACACTATTAACGATTCGCCCCAATTAACGTTCGCCCCACTCACGTCACTTGGCCCAAGACAAAAGATATGTTGCTGTACAATTTTTTCGGAGTGTAATTGCAATTTTCTGAACTTTCCAAACAAAAGTAATTTATCTCACCTTTGTAGAAAAAATTCTTTGTGCTGTAATTTTTCTATTTTATTAATATGGAATGTTGACCAGCTGAATTTTACAAGATTTTCACCTAAAGGTATATTGTCATGTCTACGTCCCCGTGAGGGATTTGACATTAATGGAAGATAGATAGATAACAGCCAAAATCTAGCAAAAGACCCCAGTCAGAAATGATCATTGTGCACATATTAAAATTTTAATTGTTTAAATTAAAAATTCACAATAATTTCATATCTCCTTTGTTAAATCAGAGACTTATAAAACAAATGGCTAAGGGTTACAAACTCTAAAAATAGAATATTCTCCTATCCAGACCAACAATCCCTTGCGCAAGGTTCTTTGGTCCCTGAAATTGGTTGATATGCACCATCTTATTTAATGTTATTGAAATTTGAATGTGTTTTATTTTTATCCACTACCCAGGGCTCTCAGTAGGGTCAGAATTTCACGAGTCAAAGACTCTTTGGCCAAAATTTTCATGAGTCAAATCATTTTTTTCTAGTGTCATTTGACTACATGAATCATTTTTATGTTACAAACTGTAACAGACTGTATTGGAGGTCATTTTTGGAGATTCCAAAGTCTAAATTGACAGAAAAAATGCCTAATTATAAATGTCTATACCCCCCACCCCCCTCCACCTAAAAAAAAAAAGCAAAAACAAAAAAACAAATAAAACAAAAAAATGAATTGCTGTGAAAGAATAAAATAAGCAGCAGCTTTTCTGATTAAATGTATCAAATATAAAAAAAATATCTTTACTGGTATGCTATATCATATTAATTTTAAATACCAAAATGTACCAGGAATATTAAATGGAAAAAGAAATAACAAATGCACAGGTACTCCAATAAATCAAAGACGTATTATTAACCTTTAAAAGCAATCAATAATTGACACCTCAAGTATGTAATTCTTATCAGTTGTGTTGAGCTATTTTTAGCGCTGTCAAATTGCAGCCACTGAATTTTCGCGCTTCAGTGCACAGGCTATAAACAATTGCCGTGTGTAAAGCATTTTATGCAAGGCTTAAACTGCCTGTTGACATTTTTAATGAGTGTGATTTGAACATATGTAGGATTTGATAGGTAATTAGGGGTGGATTTAAGGTAATTATTATTGCATATCTGAAAATCCCACGTGGCAAATTGACTCTTGAGCAGATTTTATCACATGTCAAATTTGTGCATTTCCCGATTTTCACGAGTCAAAACCCTTATCCCCGTGTCAATCGAGAGCCCTGACTACCATTAATAATTTACATCTTTCTAATCTTTTATTCTTTTTATATTATTGCAACTACATTTTCTTTACATCTTTTGATTCTGGTATCAAGGTTAAATAGCGGTGCATGTGTCGGTAAATTTTCTCATGTCAAACACATAACAGTCAGGAAATGCAAAAGATAGACTAAACCTGAGAACATACTCATGATTGTGCAGTTAGTATTGAAATTAGTTCTATAATAACTAACAATGCAAAATATTGTTCTGTTAATACACAAAATTATGATCCTTTACTGCATAATCACGATTTTTTTTAATATACCAATTCACCAAACCATTTTGCATCAGGCTGATAAATATACTTCTCAAGAATAAGATGTTGGTTTAAAATGAAATGTAAGATACAGATTTTGTCATTATTTTGCTTGGTTGTAGCGTATTTGCAAATACTTTAATTATAGAGTATGTTCTATTTTTTTTCTTTGCAAATTCAAGATGGCATGAAATAGTACATTGTAGAGTACAGTACAGTAAAGTACATTGTAGAGTTTGGTACAATTTCATTAAAAAAAGGAAATCAACCTGTAAAATTAAAATCTACAAATTAAAAAAAGTAGGCCATAACTTCCAATGTCATTTGTTGTTCAGAAATTTTGCAAATTACAGTGTCCACCAGTCTGTCTCTGCATAAGAAATTTATGTATTTATTGTGTAAAGAAAAGCTTGGCATTCATTCTGTTGTAGAAACCTGTTCCGGACCACAGAAGGAAGTGGGATCGAGATGAGTATGAGAAAATTGCTGCAGCTCGTTTGGAAGAGGAGGAAAAGAAAGCCCTGGAGAGGGAGTTGTCGAGAGATAAACCAATCAAAAGAGAACTTCTCCAGCCAAGAGAATATAAGGTTAACATGTATTTCATTACTTTAAATTCATAACTTACATTTTATAGTTGTTATCAATTATATTTGGTGTCCTCTTTAATTACTTAATTCACTCTCAGTTATAAACCTGATGTAAGAAATTGAGTGAATCTATGAATGTATATACCATCTTGTCAATTCTGTGGTAAAAGTATTTTCTATATTTTGATATAATCATAATGCTTCTTTACAGGTTGATTTAGATTCCAAGCTTGGTAAATCTCAGGTTATAACAAAGACAACACCAGCGAGTCAACAGGGAGGGTATGTATACAGATCTTTACCATATACATGTATTTAGATTTTATATATTATGAAAGGAAGATAAAAATCAGTCCTTAATTTGGGTTAATGAAAATTGTAAATTTATATATATGTATTTACTCAGAATTAACTGGTTAGATACAGCATTTTCAGACTTTTCATCAAGTTAAATAAATTTTTGATTCTGATATTATAGTCAAATGATTATACTTCTATTTAATTATATTCTTTATTTTCATCTTAAATATGAAGTTGCCAACACCAGTAGAAGCCCCCTATAACATCATTTATTTGTAAACTGGACCATCTTGCCATCTGTGATACTGAGATATGTAACTTTTTCTCGTATATATATATATTTCAGGTATTATTGCAATGTGTGTGACTGTGTTGTTAAAGATTCCATCAACTTTCTTGATCACATCAATGGAAAGAAACGTAATTGTTTGATTTGTTTGTTATTTATATAAGTATATTTAGACTAGCTGTTGTTATCTGTGATTTATTTTTCCATGACCATCTTATGTGCATATCTATCTAGCTAGCTTACAGAACCTGAAGGAGGATGGCTCAATACAGGTACCTGCTTTTACTTGAAATAATACACAAACGACATTTGAGATATTCCTCGACAAGGAAAGCTAGAAATTTGCTGCAAACATTCTAAATTTTGAGGCTGTCAAGTATATTATTTTTAACTAAGGGTTAAGTCACACCAACACTGTAAAAGTCATATGGCAAATTTCTGGCTGTTGCTATCAGTCTTCTTCTGTAAAGTGCCACCAGTGAAAGCTAAAAAGAAGCGTTTTGATCAAAGAAGGTAGAAAGTAGCCAACTGATTTAAAGAGTTTTGTGTTAAGAAAATAAGGGTGGAAGCTTTCCCGTTATATTAAAGCAAGTTCAAAGAGAGATACTGTAAATGTGTGTTCTTCAGTTATTTTGATAATTGTATTTAGATGTGCTTGAATTATGAAACATTTGGTGAGTGACACTTGATTGTTTATAAGAAAGTGCTCAATAAACAGCACCTTTTATATACAATGTAGGGCAGTTTTATATGATTTTTTTCAAATATCACTTCAGATCAAAGAAATCTTGGAATGTCAATGAAGATAGAAAGGTCATCTCTAGAACAAGTCAGAAAAAGATTTGAAATGAACAAAAGAAAACTGGAAGAAAAAAAGAAAGACTATGACTTTGATGAGAGAATAAAAGAATTAAAAGAAGAGGTATTTATAAGACCTTAACTTTGAACAGAAACATTTTATTTAACAGTTTGTAGGGATTCTTTCGATTTCTTAAGCAATTTAAATGCATAAGGCCTGCAAGATCAAGTTACTGTTTAATATTATACCACAACACACTCAAGATCAGTTTTTCCTTAATATTTTATTAATTCTTTACCTGCTGGAACCAAAAGTAATTAGCATTTGCCAGTATGAAGCCAATTCTTTGCAGCCTGGCAGGCTCTGTTCACTTGGCAAACTAACTTCGAATTTCCATATTGATAACCTAAAAAGTGATTATGGACAACTCCAAAAGTGAAAAAGCTGGACAAGTCCATTATAATTTATAAATTAAGAAATTCAGCAGATAATGGATGAAGCCTTAAAAGTACCGAAATCAAGTTTGTGACATCTATGATACCCGTGTTGAGATAGGTTGGCTTGAACATGTATGTAATGTGACAGCCCTACATATTCATAGCCGACTAATTTCAAATTTTCATTGTGATATCTTTTGAAATTGTTCATCCTTTACTTGTTGGATGTAGATGTGGTTGGCCTTTGCCAGACAAGCATTCACTTTCCTACAAACTAACAAGGTTCTATACTGTTGGTGTACAAATGAGCCGCGTCATGACAAAACCAACGTTATGTGTTTGCAACCAGCATGGATCCAGACTAGCTTGCGCATCCGCGCAGTCTGATCAGGATCCATGCTGTTCGCTATCAGTTTCTGTACTTGTTTTAGGGTTTGTAAGCGAACAGCATGGATCCTAATCAGACTGCGCAGGCTGGTCTGGATCCATGCTGGTCGCATACACATTATGTTGGTTTTGTAATGGCACGGCTCAAATGTTTTTGTTAATGAAATACCTTCTAATACTGTTCTTACTTCAAAGCAGGAAAATCCATTTTTCAGCAGGTCAATGGCTAAACTTTATGGACCATATTTAATTGTTTGTTGGACAAGTACATTGAACAAATCCAACAGGTAAATATTTAAAAATATAATTGGAAAATGATCAAAGAGTTATTATATTTTCCAGGAAGAGAAACAGAAAGCTTACAAGAAGGAGAAACGAAAGGAGCGTAAGCGTAAAGCTGATGGTGATATTGACCAAGATGCTGATCCTGATATGGCAGCCATGATGGGATTCTCTGGTTTTGGTAGCTCAAAGAAGTCTTAGCATATTTCTTCCTTTTCTTGACTTTTCTTGACTTGTCCTGGAATGATCATATTGAAGTTCGTGATGTATTTGTAAAAAATGTGACATGGCAATGGAAAGTATCTTGTTGAAATTGTGTAAATAATCAATCATATATTACAATCATTGGAAATATTGTTTGATTGAATTATGTACAGGTCATATTTGAATCATATGTTTATAGTGAACCAGGTGTGCCTTGTGCCTCCTTAGCATTTCAACAGTGAACACTCGAAATGTCATCCAACAGATCATATCTGAATTATTTCAAGAGTATTATTGTCTTATTGATGTATTGTACAAGTTTGATGTTGAGAAATATTTTTAGTCATAAAATATTATAGGAAATGATGTTATGAATGGTGTACTAGTGTAGTAAAAGTTTGACCATACAGGTTGTAAAATTGTGTCTCCAATCATATCTTTTGAAGGCATTTTTTGGCTCAAATCTTGTAGAAATTTTGTCGGGGTTCTTTCCTGAGTGAAGGATCCAGTTCCAGAAAAATTTAAAAAAGGAGGAAATTCTGTTAACATTTAAAAGAGTAGAGCTCTGTCATTCATTTTAATTTCTATAAACCTTAGCCAGGGCACTTCCAGTGATAAAATATAGGATAAACTTGAATGTAGAATGTACATGTATACTGTACAAACTAATTCTATTACAAGAGAGTAATTTTTTCATTTTAATTTCTGTTGAACACGATTTATCTAGATCTGCATAGTTCTGACCACTTTGATGTAATGTATCCTTGTAAAATGTTAATGGTAAAGATAGGTAAATTGTATGAGTGCCAGCGAAAAACAGTGAAACTTATGGTCAGGTAGTACATTTTTACAATTGTTGTACATATTATGTATATTTGACAACATAGGATGTTTTATGTAATTGATGACTGATGTTTAAATGCCTGTGAAATAAAACTCTGAAACAATGATCTTCTTGTTTAGATATGTATACATTGATTTCAAGTGTCGGATTCTACAGTAATTTTCCAAATAGACCCGAGGATGACAATGGATACAGTTAAAGGAAATAATACTTTTAAAATGTCCAGAAAAACTGCAACTATTGTTGCCTGGAATAACATATATATCGGCATTTTTGTACCAGTGGAAATTGTTTTGATTCCTTTGGTATGAGATAGAGTGTACAAGAGGCAATGGCAAAATTTTATATTTCTTTTGATCTTGAATAAAATATTTTTTAAATGTCTCCACCAGTAAAGAATATAAAAATAAAGGCCTCAATACTTGAATGTTGCAGCATGATATACACATGAAAGGCACGACTCAAATACCATGTTTCTATGGATAATAACGAACCCATTTATGTCCCATCTGATAACCATCAAAGTCTTTCAAAGAACTCTCGAGTTTCTTTTTCTTTCCCTTAATGGAAGGCACAAGAGCGGACGATATATAAATGTCGGCAGATTGGAATTTTTACAGTTTAAAATAGTTTAACCGTTATTGGTCTATATAAAGTTGGAGAAGAAAATTACCATTTGAATTTGAATTGGAGAAAGACGAGTCAAAACCGGCATTCCCTTAATATTTCATTTTTGGTCTTATTTTAAAGTTTTCAGAAAGATACTAATTGGCCAATTACCTGAACCATCTCTTGCCTCAGTTGCCTTTATGTACAGTTATAGTGATAAAGTGTTTTGTATGGAAGTCAAAATACTACTTTGTCTAAATTTCGCTACTATTATAACAAATAATTTCACATTCAGCGCTACTTCCTTCAGGCGAAGAGCATCTAACTTGCTCTGAAACGATTATTTGAACGTTATATTTTTTTGTCCTTTCTTTCTGAAGCATAATGTGCCTTGTAATTAGATCTATAATGTAGGATTACCGGATAGATTCGATTTATAAGCTTGCTTTCCATAACTGGTCTGCATCCGTGGTAAAATTGATTTATTTGGCCAAGGGCTATTTTTTTTATCATACATGTAATTAAAATATTCTTAAAAAAGAACAAACACCCAAGGAAATTTATATTAAAAATTCTTAGTTTAATAATGATCAACCTTATGCATTTTAGTCACAGTGCAACAAATAAAGTAAATCAAAGAAAATACGAGTTGAAATTTTATTTTCAACTGTGTTATATATAATAAAATAGTGTATCCTTTGTCTAAAGAAAAGATAATAATAAAACTATTGTTCCAGACAGTCTTCACCAAGTGTGACATTGCCATGGTAACCCTCAATACACTTGCAGTCCTCTATTCGTGTTCTTCCTTTTCCTTGCGTTATAGAATTAAATGGGCACGCAACACATTCTGCACTGTTTTCATCCCGGTAAAAGTTTTCCGGACATGCTGTAAAATGTACATACATAGAACATAAAATAGCGCACTTCCGGCTAAGAAAACAAAGTAGTGCACTTTCTAAGGAACAATAAATATCACCATTGCAACAAAGAACATAAAAATAGCGCATTTCCGACTAAGAAAACAAAACTGTGCACTTTCTAAGGAACATTAGATAACACCATTTCAACATAGAACATAAAATGACGCTATTGCGACAAAGAACATAAAATGGCGCACTATCGACAAAGGTAATAAAACGGAGCTTTTGCAAAAGAACATTAAATAAAACCATTGCAAATTAGAACATAAGTGGCCATTGCGACAAACATAAAATGGCGGCTGCGCCACTGTAACAAAAGGATGAAATAGCGCAGCAACACAATACACATACAAAAGCACTATTTTGACGAAGAACATAAAATGACGCCAGAGGTATTGAACAAAACCAATCAATGTTCATAGTTGCAATTATAGGCCGGCACGACGATTTCTAAAACGTATGACCTTAACATACAATGTAGTTGAATACAGATCAGGATTTTCACCTCACAAATACAGTACAATCTTAGGTGCTGAAAATCTCCGAAATTCATACACTTAAATAGAAATTCATTGTTTTCAAACATATTTAATCAGGAATAATATGCATGTAACTGCTGAAGGCTCTTTTCCGTTATTTATTTTCAATGAATATATGATATGGGTAGTGAAACAGGTAAATAGGTTTTAGAAATATGCGTAAAAACTTACGTGCACATTTGTTATATCCCACCAAAGCGTGTCCAAGGAAACAATCACATCTGTATGATCCAACAGTGTTGATGCATGTTTCAAGACATTCATTCAGATGAGAAATCTCACATTCATTTATATCTAGTATGTAAAAGTAAATGAGCAGCGTGACAAGAAATGAATTATAAAAAACAAATGGGATTCAAACTTAATTACTATAACATAGAACATATTTTTATGTCTTGTCTAGCGTTCTCGTGTCAGATGGGACCACAGGCTTTCGGCGTATGACAAAAAATGCACATGTACTAGTATATCCAGCCTGAAAACAGTTAAACAATCCACATTGCAGTTGGGCGATTACACTGCAAAACACATGCCTTTATGAGAACAATAAAGCTTCGTCATTGGTTTCAGTTTGTATGTTCTAAATCATCATATGTTCTGTATGTAAAATATATGTTTGGAATTTTGATACAACCTCTATGGACACGGATGCCCTGATATTCCACTGTTTAGTCAGTCTTCGGACGGAGGGCGTGACAAAGGGACGGACGGACACGGCAAATCTATATCTACCCCCATCCATTAAATTATCTGGGTAAAATAATCAGGCCTTGTTCATATTATATTACCTATTATGGTTAATTATCTACCTACCTGTACAGGTGATGTTGTTTTCACTGATTTCGTATCCCTTTTTACACGCGCAGTATGCCCCACCATCTGTATTTATACATTTATAATCACATAGTAACAACCCAGTAGAGCACTCGTCCACATCTGAAATAAAGAAAGACAGAACACAAAATACTTAAACTTCAACAAAAATAATATTAACAATCTTATTTCTTATTAAAAAAAAATCTATTAGTTTTGGAATATATTTATATTACGGTTTGCTTATAGACTTTATTAATATACCATTCACGTCTTTGTGAAGAAAGAAGGGAATAGAATTGCGAAACAAAAGCTGTTGGAAAATCAATTAAAACAACTATCAGTCATGACCAACCTCTGTACCAAATTATAGTTATAGAGACCAGGTAAGATTTTTGTTATCGTAAGTATGTATGAAGTCTATGCTTAATGAGGGTCCATCCGCCCGTAAGGGCACAAAATGCAGCTTTCGCTGTCGAGTAAGGACCACGGACATGTCACCAGTCATGCCCTTAAAGAGTTAATTTTGAAGCACAAAGTGGTGATAATTAAGCTCCATGCAATTTCCACGGATAAATAGCGAAAGATATGAATTTTGAGGCAAAAGTAGGTCACTGTACGGCGGTCAATAAGATTCTATATGTACAGTAACCCGAGACAATAATTAAAGGGGTTAGCCTTGACAAGGGCTGTTGGTGCCAAGCAAAAGGCCTGCCGTACAAGCCGTCTATCTGTGCTAAGGGCTCACGCACCCTAACACACCATCCTCGTGGTCTCTGCCTACATAGTAGGACCACTACCCTCGGCATTAGTTAGGACACCGGCAGCTGGTCCGCAGTTGTTGACCAAGTAGCAGTCCCGCTATTTACTTACGGGTGAGTAATTCATAAGTTTACTTCCCGCCAAGCCGTAAATCTTCTGCCGATGCCCTGTGCCTTCTCAGCGGCGTGCAAACTCCGAGGGGAAATGAGATTTTTGTGATCAAGGCCACGATGACCTTAACATTTGACCGTCTGATCGAAAATCAAAAGTGGTCACCTATTAGTCATGTCCACCTTCCGCACCAAATCTTAGGACCGTAGACCAGAGTAATATCATTTTGTTGATTGGAAAGCCTTTTTGTGGTCACGGTGAACTTTGATAAGGTGCGTTCTACGGATTGACAGACCGACATACGCTGTGCAAGCAATATATACATTCCTTCTTCGAAGGGTGAATACTAGCGATATAATCCCTATCATATTTTAACTATCAACAAAATGTATTCTTTGATAAAAACCACGCAAAAAGAGGAACTTTTACGGAGAATAAAGGCACGAACCTGCATGGTCTGGTTGCTTTAGAAGACGAGCCGATAGTCTGTTTGCAAAAATGGCGGACAAAGTGAAAATTATTCGTAAATCTTGAAGAGGGTTTAGAAGTTTACAATTGTAAATACATATAATCAAAAAGAGGGTTAATGCACCCTTTTATATGCATTAATATCTGCAGAAGCAAAGCATGAGAACATATTTAAAGCTGAAGCCCGAGGGATATAAATTTATAGTCTGAGGGCTTTTGAAGATGTAAATGCACGAAAGAAGGTGCATTTACCATTAATCTAACTGAAAATTTCTTTTTTTTGGCCCAAAAGCTCAAATTTTTCTTTTTTTAAAAAATCAAATATTGCACTTTTAAAAAAAATACACTTATTTGAAATTTTTGGGATATTATGTACATTTTAAAATTTTGAAAAATAAAAATTTTTCAAAACCTAGACAATATGACCATCTTGAAGATGATAACCATGACGACAGGAACAAATATAGCTGCCTTCTATGTTCTCACAGTGATGACTACATGGTCCTGTCACACACTCATTGATGTCTGGTCGAGGTTATTATATGTAATATAACACATCACAATTATTGTTCTAGGGACACTCATTGTATATATTTGAGGTCTTGATTTATTTTAATCCTTATTGTAACATATCTAATTCGGCAACCTTGTGCAGTATGCTTGCGGGTTTTAGCACTACGCTATGTTGTGTCTCATTTAATTTATCGTTTGTTTTGATGCTTGACTGATACCAGTAATGGTGAAATTTGAAATATATGTAAGAATAGTGCAGCTAAAGGCAATTAATGCTTTTTTTGACTTATGAGACTGTCTATTAATACATTTCACCTACATATGACAATGCTTATTTTGTTTATAAAGTTTAATGGTAAATAAGCTACAACATTTGTAAAAGATTAAATCAACCCATAATTTATTGCAAAACAAAAGATTCATTTTTTATCTCCTTTGTTCTTTTAGGATAGAACTAGTTGCATCACTAATATGTAGCACTTCAGTCTTTGTATAATTATATAACTGTTTGATACAAATATCAAAGAATAGTTTAACGGTAGTTTAAAATTAAACCAATGTGCCGAGCAATTTATAGCAATTTGTTTCCTTGGGCAAACGTTGCAGTTCATGAAATAAAATATTGCTTTACTCCTTACCATGCACTTACCGGTACAATTGCCATCAGGAGCCCTCTCAGTGTGAAATCCCAATGCGCATACACAGTCGTCAATATTAGAAGCTATTGCCACCGTGTCGTTTACCACAGTGTTGTTGGGACATGGGGAACATTTGTTGTTTTCGTCATAATAGCTGTATCTGTCACATGCTGAATGAAATTGGTGAGAAAACATTTATAAACATCGGTCGAAACAAAGTTAAAATATCTATTTAGAGTGTTTGGCTTGGAACCCGGTAATTGTAAAGACGAGGTGAGTAATGTATTACATAATTTGGCTTCTCGGACCGATGACGTGCTCTGATACTAATTAATGCATGTCATTTCATAATCAGATTGATTAGCTAAACACTGGAATTTACTTAATGTAATTAATATGACTACAGAAACATACCTTTAGATATGATCCTTGGTTTTCACAATCGTAAAATACTAATTTCATAAACAATTTACTAAAATCCTATTTTTAAAGCTAATTTTCATGAAAATTTTGAAAAAAGTATTTAAAAGTAAAACGTTATGAAGTGAACCAAGAAAGTAATTTACACATTGCAAATGACACTTAAAATTCGCGTAAATTTAACAAAAAGAGGTCAAAATATGCAAAACTAGTCTTTATTGTATTAGTTACGCAGTAGAAATATGATGATTCATACTGCAAAATCAGTCATTTAGCGCACGTATCATGTAAATTATTACTTAAAATCTAAGTACATTTTCCTTAAGAATATTTTAGTTTATCTGGAGGCATGCATCTTTAAATCAAGAATTTAAAAGACATAATGACAAGATGACACAGCAAATTTACCTAAATCCACGTGAGAAATATGTAAAATGATCCTTTCCAGTACACATCAGTTTAAAATGATTTGTTAGTATACAAATAAGAAGGTATGCACTTTTGCAAACTAATTTACATCTAAAGCTTTTATTCAGTCAAACCCTAATCCTCGCTGGGGACCTAGACATATCAATGTAATGAAATCAGCTTGAATGTATTTAAATATAACAGCTACCAATTTATTTATTTGGAGAAAAACACCAATTGCCTACTTATGCATGAACGTCCATCTTCGTGCAGTATTGCAGACTCTCCCGAACACATACACTTGTATGACCCTAGTGTGTTCACACAAACATCTTCGCATTTACCATTGTCAATTTCACATTCATCCATATCTGTATTATAATACATTGTAGTGTAATATTTCATGACATATAATGTGGCAAATTTCTTTGATTGTATTTTGATTGTTACATCTGATGAATGCGCTAAGTATTACATGTAAGAGCTAGAATGTAGTGTGTGAGTTGGATTTTACGGCGATTTAACATCATCTTTTTATCATAGAATTTTATAAAATTGAGTGAAACGGAAAAAGGTCAGAATACGCCAAAAACGCTAAAAAAATCACCGTTTCTACGATTTATGTATGTAAAATGTGTATTTTATAAGAACAAGAAAAAAGTTATTTTACTTTGAAAACATGTGATAACAAATTTATATTTAAAACTGATACGGTCAATAACATAAAGTCAAAGATCGTCAATGTCATACCTTCACACGTGTTAGTATCATTAGATATCCTGTAACCTCTTTTCTTACATTGACATTGGAACGATCCTACGGTGTTGATACATACCTCCGTACATCCGCCATTATTGTCTGAACATTCATCATAATCTATGTATCAATTAAACAAGAAATTACTTAACCCATATAATATGTGACCAGTAGCCTGTCTGGAGAGCTATACATAGACCAGTAAACAGACCCGGCTTTTGTTTAAACATTTCATTCTTATATTTACATAATTTAAGGCATAATATGCCTTTAATGTCTTAAAGATTGTTGTATGAAGACAATCCATTTAAAAATAAATTATACCCAATTATTGCAAAAATCAAGCAAAATTTAAAAAATAAAAGACCTTAAATATCAAGGTCATTTACGATTCAATGTCAAGTTTAGTCTAACTTACTTGAAGGTCTTGTGCAAAAAGTTGTTGTGTCCAAATATAAAGAAAAATCCATATAGAAATTTAAAAAAGATCAATGTTAAAGTTTCCTAACAGCAACGGCGATAGCAACAGGAACGAAGACTTGACTGTAGCAACAGCTCGATTTTTTCCCGAAAATGTTAAGCTTATTGCATAATCTTCTTACTGCCATCTATCCATATTCCAAATTTTATAAAATATATAAGTACTTTTTGAGTTATAACAAAAAATTGCTGTATCGGCATATTTTAAGTCTATTTGTTGCCATAGCAATAACATTTTTCAAGGTTATATCATTTTGTCTGTCATGTTTGAAAGAGTTTTGAAGTCAAAATATTTTAACGCGAAGCCCAATATATGACCATCAAGACCAAAGCGAGATACTGAAAATAACAGAGTCTAAATGAAAACAGAGTACTTCGCTTGGTTTAGATGGTCCAATAACATTCATTTAATTTACTTTTTTAGAATATAAACTTAGAATACAAAGATTAAGATAAAGATGATCATGTTATTGAGAAGGCATTTTTTTTCAACATTACCAAATTTTACACATTAATGTCATAATGTCAAATATGGATAAAAAAGTTGTGCAATCCATAAGAAATTTTGTTTCACTTGCATTGTTATTAATTGGTTGATTATAGCTATGTTTTTGGGTATTGTAATGTCTGTTCCCGGTGTCAGTAACGACTGTCCTCGGCCATATGAGAGTATGATATTATCTTAGTTACTACATGTAGTAACTTGTATATTTTAGAAAGCAATTCCGGTTTTCTGATTTAAATATAAATTTAAATTGACATATTTTATAAGAACAATATGTCTCAGATGAAATGTCGCTAAAACATCCCTATTCTGGACCAAAATAGTTTACCATGTACCCAAAACTTTTATGTGATACAGGTCGAATTCATAGACGTTCGAATTGCATATAATTATTTTCACGTCTGAACATATAACAGAAATTTAAAGAAACAGTCAAGAAGTTTGATTTAATTGATAAGTAGTCTAAAACAATAACTTAAATTAAAAAAAAATGCGTATTTAATACTGCGATCAACGTTTTTTCTTACTAGAATTAGTATATTCCTGAAACATCTACGTGGTACTGCGTATACTACCAAAAGTAGTCAAAATGTCCACTTTCTTTAAAATAGAAACTAAACGTTTAGATTGGTTGTACTTTCACTATTATAATGCATAAATTAATGCTTCATCCATTATAGTGTGAAGAAAAGTGACTTCTTACTATGTAAGATATTTCTTTGGACTATAAACACAATAATACTACACCTTCACATTTTCTTCTGGATTGTCCCAAAACGAAGCCGGGTGGACACTCACATCTGTATTTCCCCTTCCCATGGGATACACATTTATGTTCACAACCGCCATTTTTGATTTCACAAGGATCCTTGACCTTTGGAGCTAGGGATAAAAACGAGGCATATTTTTATCTAATACAAAAGGTTTGCATACTATCCTTATATTATCTTTACTGGAACCAGATGATGTGCATACAAATTAGAATTGATGATTTGTCCAAGAGCATACATTTTAAAATGAAATTAAGGAGAGAAAAGGCCATTAGTGGCTACAGACAGAATCATTTTGATATCTATCACAAATATTTTATATAAAGCATTCAAACATATTTAGAAATATTCACCAAAATATGATTCCAATAAAATGTCACGAAATAATGGTAAATGAAACAACTCTCTTATCCTTAGCACCGTCTTAAGCAATATTCATTTTTTAAAAACAACATCAGGAAATACCAATACAATATAACAACAGTGATATAAAATAGGCCGCAACCCCTTGCAGCTGCCACACTAACTAACATTCAAACAATGTTTTTAGAGAAGTCTGTTTGAAAAGATAACCATTTTTCAATTTCTTTTGATATATATATTTCACCAATTTACTCAATATCTTGTTGTTGTAGCAAAGTTATTCCAATAATTTGAAAAAAACACAACAAAAAAACATTTATATTTAATAACAAGACTTCTAAATTAGTACTGATATTATTTCGTTTAGAAACATGGATAGTTTTTGCATTGACGTACTACCGTATGACTACTTAAAACAAATAGATATCTTGATATTTTTTTCCCTCTTAAACAAGATATAGCTTTAAAATACATGTTATGGATGATTGTAAGCATTTTCAGTATTTTTGCAAAAGTAACGCTATTTCAATGCTATTTGAGAGAATATATCCCACTTTCTATCAAATGCTATTAAAGTTGTCTTTTAGTTTATCTCAACACAGAATTATTCACCTTTTGATAGTTAAGATCGGTTAGCATTTAAATGAAAATACGTATGATGTACAGTATTACAATATTCATAAATTAATTTTCATAGAATGCTATTTATTTCTAGGAAGTTGTTCCAAATGTTCAGGGAAATGATTTCCACAACAACTTTTATTGTGATGTTGAATATTGCATCTTGTTCTATTCTGGACCATGGACTGGTTGGAGAGATAACTCTGATCCATAAATAATCCTGACACTTGGTAAATATAATTGCTTTATATAGAAGCAGGACAGTCTGTGGTGATCTTTTTAAAGTTAATAAACTTTTTAATGTGTGTAGAATTACTAGTACCTAAACATTTTGTGTACAAAAACTGACTCAAAACGTCATTTTTACTAAAATTCCATATGGCTGTTAGAACTGTCTAGACTACAGGCCACTGACATCGGAAAGATTTTTTGAAAAATTGATAGAATATCAAAAAAAATATATATAAAACAAGGCATGTGAAAATAAAAGATTGATGCTGATTTTACAGTTATTTTCTTCTTAAAAGTTAAAGTGTTAACTTTATCTACTGTTGTTGGGGTTTGTATACCTCATTCAGGACCTTAAAGAAGTGCCAGTTTCCATTTCGATAAATAAATTTTGTAGTGTATCGTAAAGTCTTTGAAAATATTGCAAAAATATGTGATTAAAAGTGTCGGAGCTATCTCTCCAATCAGTATTATTTCTGTATTATTCAAAAATTGGTTATATTTTTTTCTTTCATCTAAACTTCAATAACAATCCCAAAACTGATAAAAGTGGTAAAAATAACAGGAAACATCTTACATATTTTCATGTATTTCTTATCCACCAAGATTAAGATAATTTCTGTTTTCTATCTCTATATAATTATCAAGGCTGTAGAAACATACATGCAGGTATGATCGTGGCTTTCACAATCATAAAACACAAATTTCATAAATATTTTATTTATATCATGAATTTAAATAACATATCTACGAGAAATTACAACATGATACAGCAGATTTACCAACATCCAAGTGAGATATATGTAAAATTATCCTTTTAAGTCCACATCAGTTTAAAATGACTTGCGAATTTACAATAAGAAAGCATGCACTGTTGCAAAGAAATAAATTTAAATGTTAAGAAATCAATTTACATCTAAGAAAGCAATATATATCCTTTTTTTAGTCAACCCAAATCCTTTCTGGGGACTTAGGCATTTCAGTGTGATGAAATCAACTTGAACATATTTAAATATGATAGCCACCAGTTGCTTACCTATACATGAACGTTCATCTTCGTGAAGTATTGCAGACTCTCCCGAACACATGCACTTGTATGACCCTAATGTGTTCACACAAATGTCTTCGCATTTACCATTGTCAATTTCACATTCATCCATATCTGTTATATTGTAATATTTCATAAAATGCAAGTGACACATTTCTTTAATTCAAATTTAATATTGCATTTTGTTTGTTAAATTATACATGATAGAGCTCCAATGTAGTGTGTTATTTGGATTTTACGGCGATTCAACACATCTTTTATCATAAGATTGTATAAAGTATAGAGAAACGGAAAAAAGGCCAGACAACTCGGTAAACCACATAATCATCGTTTCTACGATTTATTTTTGTATGTAAAATGTAAAATTTATAGAAACAAGAAAAGGTTTTATCATATATTAATGAATTAATTATTGAGAAACTTTAATGAAATAAAATGCATTTTTCAACTCCGTACTTTCACTGCAAAATTTATTTTTCACTGCAATGAAACATATGTTCACTATTGTCTTGCCGGACTACCTTCTTCTGAATTCGTCTATCGAATCGTAAAGTTAAAAAAAGTCGTGGTATGAAAATAAATTCTGTACTGTAGAATTTTTTTTATATCATCTATATATTACTTTGAAAATATGTGATACTATTTTATATTACAGATTGAATCAGCTAAAGATCGTTAATGTCATACCTTCACACGTGTTAGTATCATTAGATATCCTGTAACCTCTTTTCTTACATTGACATTGGAACGATCCCACAGTGTTGATGCATACCTCCGTACATCCGCCATTATTGTCCGAACATTCATCATAATCTATATATATTATCAATTGAACAAGACATTTCTTTACCGCATAGTGTCAGCAGTGACAATGGCTTAGCAATGTCATGGGTTTAGTCAAATTACCATTTGCCAGCCAGAAGCCGGTCTCGAAAGCTGTATACTAGTTACAGACCTTTTTATACTATTTATATATGTTTTACTTTCGTTCTTTTTTAAAACCAGTTTTATATTTACATATTATTAACCATACTAGCTTTGGGTAAGCACCAATTGATATCAGTCACAGTATTTCCAATTATGGTGTTTCATTTTCAAACATTCATAAATAAGTAAATATACATTGGTTTAAAATACCCTGCCTCTATTTTAAGTGATATTAAGTTGAAGTCTCTATGTAAGCAACATTTATTGTTCAACATACATGTACATGTACATTACATTGTAAACAACAAACATTTATTTATTTTTCAATTAATAATACATTTGCTGACACGAACCCGAAATAACTCATCGACTGCCCAATATGTTGAATATTTCCATTATAATCTTGCATCCCATATGAAGCGTTTTAGTGTTATTTGAAAATATCTTGTACAGTTATGTCAAAGTTGAGTTTTGATACTAAACAAAGTAATACCAGAGCAAGAAGTTTGTCGCCGTGATTCTGTGTAGCCTGATATAGAACAGTTGCATTTGTATGTTCCGGGTACATTAATACACTCGCCAGGGCACTGATGTTGTCCTGGTGAGGCACATTCGTCCAAGTCTGTTCAAAATATATTTAAGCTTGTTAGTCAAATAATTAAATACGTCCGAATTTATGTTATTGAAATAGATTTATATTTGAATATATTGTATCCGTGGATAAAGTTAATGTGCTTAAATTAAAATATAAAATAAATGTATCTTCATCAAAGATACACCAAGCAAAAGCTTTTTATGTTACAAATCATACTATTCTAAGTAAGTATCAAGAAGGACTTATGACATGTGTATCTTATTTATTAAAGTTTAAGGTGTATAGAATTATTTAAATGTTACAAAAGGTTATGTTACTTATGGGCATTCTCGAAAGCAAGTATAAAAATAAGAATTTGCTTTATATGAAATATGAATTAAATTGCACTCGTTAATTGTAAAAGCTTGCTTCTTTTAATTACTAATCCATAGCATTTATTGTTATTTCAATTAGAAAAAAAACACACATAAAATTATAGACGTCATTTAGTGGCTGAGATAAGATGCGATCACCACCCCATATCACAGCATCTTTTATCATAGAAAATGTTGTTTAATAAATATGAATATGCTGTTAACTAATGTTTTATTTGTTCACATGTTATTATAAAATGTATGTTTTCTAATATGCGTCTAAAATAAAGTTATATATTATGTTCTGTTCTGCTCTGTTCATAACAGTGATACAATAGTGCGATATATTGATGTGTAACCTTTTCATTTAAGTTTTTATAAGATTGTCAATTTTGATTAGTGCAAATATTACAATCACAATGTTTTTTTCTTCAATGTCAACAATTATTTTTTAAAGGAATATATAAAGGATTTTTTTTGCAGCTTCTCGCTTTTTTTCAAACAAATCTATTTAAAATGACATATCAAGTTGTATATTTAATGTCGAGTAGTAAATTTTGTAGACAATTATTTGTTATATACATAAACCAAAAAACAAGACACCCTGTATTAAAATGAAAGAAAAATAAAGAGAAGAGAATTGTTTATTTACCTTTTTAACCTTTTGTGAAGAAACGTGCCGATACTTAAAACCACGGAGCGTAAAGTTTCGCGGTTAGTTCGGTATTTTTATAACTACAATGTTAATTACATTTGATATATACGTATTTTTATAAGGTCAATGACAAATACAATATGACAAAAACTAGGTTAAGTATTTGTTTCCAACGTCTTCATGGTTGTTCGTCATATTGAAATTAATGCAATGTCTGTCTGCAACAAAAACAAAAGCTTAATTACATTATTAATAGAAATTTTCTCCATCTCGTCTATGATGAACACAATCATCTATAATTATAATGATATATATCATATATACTATGCTCATCTTTGAGTAAAAAATTTTATTGCAAAAATTATCAAAATCTAAAAAATTCTTACTAAATATGTCTTATTTGAATAAAAGAACGTTCAAAGTATGTATAAGAATCTGCGTTGTTTATTGCGGGTCAAGTAAAGCTGATCTTTTTCTTAAAAAATCCTGCCAGTTTGTTTAATGACACCATATATTCACAGTGTGGCTCAGACACTTAAAGCATAACACACTTCGTGTGCAATCAAAATGTTTATTTAATAATTACAGAGAAACCGTGTGGCAATTATCTAATTTTTTAATATCAAATTTGAGCATAATATATCTTTAAGTTAAAATTAATAGGTTCTCAAATCAGAAACAGGTATCCTGTCACTGAAAAAAGCAACAACAACATATATTAGTATACACGACATGATAATATTAATATGCTTCATAGTTAAAATGACATTTTATAAATTAACCCTCAAATAAGAGAATGGTACTGACAAAATACTAGCTGAAAAAGTACATTATATTATATAAAAAAAATATGATGTTCCTACAATTCCTATAACATTGTATGTAAAGTGTTTTAATTCCTGTAAAAAAGAAGAAAAAGTTAATAGCAAAAAGAAACAAAACAAACAACGACAAAACAAACAAACAAAAAGAACAGTATTTCTGTGTGACAATAACGAAAATAGTTATCAAAATAAATAATAATATGATACATGTAAATTTATTAAAAACGTATTTCTTTTTCTAAACATAAAACAAATCAACTATTCTTTTTAATTCTGATAAATGATACACACACTTTTGTATGAATTTAATGTAAAATGTCATTAAAGTACAATTATATTTAATTTTTATACGATGTTTCATTTTCAAGAAAGAAGCTGCAAATTCTTTGTTACGTAATTGTTATATTATTGTTAAATGTTGAAAGTTTATTATCTGATTATTATCTGTATATAAGCAAAAATGGCCGTCATATTTCAAGTACACGTATATTCATATATTTAAGTAGATATGGAATACCAGGAATGATGGTAATCGTTTTTCAAAAAAGTTAGAAACGAGCATCTTACCTAAACATTTAAGTCCTACAGACTGGAAACCAACATCACACGTGCAGAAGAATGATCCAACAAAATTGACGCAGGTTTGTTCACAACCGCCATTATCTAACCTGCACTCATCTATATCTGCAATTATAATATAACTATGAAATTTTAAATATAATATGATCTTTTCTGTCCTGCTGGGTTTGCCTATTGAAACAAACACTTGAAGCCAAAGTATTTAAACACATGGCCCAACGAACAGCATAAAAGTTGTAAAAAATACGATAGTGCGGACAGAAATAAAAAATATATATATATATAAAAATTAGGACTGAAAAACAATAAATAGTAGAACTACCGTTTTATGCATTGCATTCCTTCTGAGTGTGATCTATCTACCTATGGCGTTTCAAGTTAATATCTCAAATAGTTTTTGAGATACATTCCGTTAAAAAATTGGGGACAAAAGGACGGGCGCACGAACGGTTGGAGACTATTAGTCACTATTTCCATATCCCCGCCGCCTTTTCAATAACAAGGATTCTAATTTTGTGGAAACAATTCTTTAAACATTACTGATATGATTTAATGTACAATATCACAATAATTTCATTAATCATAAAAGTTGTGAAATGCGTAACTTGTACTGCCATTAATAAGTTGATTGTGTTTTTATATTGTTATATTTGTTAACTTGAAGAGATTTAACTTGAAAATGTTTTAAATGCTTCGTACCAACAAGACTGTCCTCGGCCAAATGAGCACGATATGAGTTTTATAGCATTAACTAAAATATCTTTTAAAGTTATGGCATTTCTGCTTCTCTGATTTAAAGATAAATTTAACTTGGTATTATTTAATAACTAATGTAACTGATAGAAACGGTATATATTGTACATGTATTAGATAAAGTGTCCCGAGGGATCATGTTCACAAAACTAGTATCTGGTAAAGGTCGAATTCAAAGAGGTTTAAATTTATCATATTTACGCCTGAACTTATCATAAATATTTTTAAAGAAACATTCAAGAAACAAAATTAAAAAGTAAAACAAAACTTGATTTTTTTTTACTTATTTCAACTTATTTCTAACTAGAATGCAGGATATACTACCAAAAATATTCAGATAAGAATCTTAAAAATAGAAACTTTTACTTTTGTAATACTTTCACTGTATATAATGTATAAATCAATGCTTCATCCATTGTAGTGAAAATAAGAATCTTTAAAATAGAAACTTTTACAATTGTAATACTTCCAACATATATAATGTATAAATCAATGTTTCATCCATTGTAATAAAAATAAAAGTGATGTCTAACACTTTTCTTTGGACTATAAACGTAATGATACTAAACCTTCACATTTTCTTCTGAACCGTCCCAAAATGTAACCGGGTTCACACTCACATCTGAATTTCCCGTTCCCGTGGGACACACATATATGTTCACAACCGCCATTTTTGACTTCACAAGGATCCTGGACCTGTGAAGCTATAATATGATTTGTAGTGAAAAGATATAGGCACATTAAAAAAAAATAAGCAAGGAAAAACCAACAAGCAGTAAGGTCCACTGAACGAAGCACCAAACCTCGTACCCACTTAACTAAATAAGTAAAATAAAAAAAATGAATAATAATGAACGGAGAAAAATAAATGAAAAAATTAGCACCGTTAAAGCAAGGAAAAAACAGGGCAACGAAAAAACATGTTATATTTATAGTTAATTACAATGTCTACCGTTTGCATATTGAATTTTATTAAAGTGAATGTGACTTATTAACAGTATTATAATATTAATGCTATTATTTTCTAGAACGTTGTTCAGGACGTTCAGGAAAAATTATTTCCACAACAACTTTTATTGTGAATTTGAATATTTTTTAACAATAAACAGTTGGAATTGTTATGCACCTTGTTATAATCTGGACCAGAATTTGTTTTTTTTTCTCAGTATTATTCAAAAATGGGAAATATCTTTTCTTTGTAACACTGTCAGAAATGGCAGTAGTTGTAAGAAATAACAGAAAACATTTAACATATTTTCAAGTATTTCTTATACACTCATTTTTGAAAAAGTATTTCAAAATTGATTTTAGTTGAAACAGAAAACCCCCATGATATTAAAATTTAAACATCCAAACCTATGGTCACGCAAGCTGGTGTATTTCCTACCCATTTGTAGTTTCTACAGTAGAGGTACGTGGAACTTGTGTCATTGAAGATGAAACCAGTTTGGCATGTGTAATTAGCAATGATAACCCACTGTCTCCGAACTTTGTTATATTTGTATACAATTGCTTTATCTGCATTTTTGACAACTGGTGGTTCGCTTAAAAAAATAAATGGTTTACAAACCGGTATAACTGTAAAATAAAGAGCTGTTAGTATGCAACAATAAAAGGTCGATTTTTTTTTCAGATTGTATTGATGGACTTGGGATGTAAACCCAAATGTTTTATGTTTGAATATTTCTCCTGGGACTCTATTTATGTATTGTTTGAATCTTTTTTTTTACTAAATCTTTTTTCTAGTACGATAACATATATAAAATAAATTAAAAAGTTAACTAATAGTTTTTACTTTGCAAAACAACTATGTTTTCCCAATAACTTAATTTCTTTTCAACTTTTCAACATGTTCGACTTTTGTTTTCTTTATATGCTAGAATTCTCAATGCGTCACAGTGATAAAATGCCTTTGTAATACCTTACATTCTTAAACAAGTACAACTTTAATTTATTACTATTATATTTTCTATAGGTACCAAAGCCAATAAAGACTGTTAACTACTTATGTCTTAATATTGACAAGGTTAGGTGAAACGAGAGATATTGCACTTTTAAATTATATCTCATCAACAGACGCAATCAATACGAGTCTGCAATTTTTATAAAATTTTGCTCTTTCACTGCTTTCGAGAATTGCCCTTTTTCCAGATTTTTATTATTTGAAAATAAATGAGGAACAAAATTCTTATAGTGAGGCTAATTGAACATAATATTGAATGTACAGATAAGCAAGGTTATAAGATTTAAAAACAACAACAAAAAACAAAAACATACACACACAACAAATATTTAAATATTTGTACTAATTAACTTTGTTTAGATATGTCATTAAGAGTATCATCAAAAGTGCCCAGATGTATAAAGCATATATACATGCTGCCTGTAGTTTACAAAAATAATTTGTTTGAATTTAAAAAAAGGAATAACTCCAAAACATCTATGTGAAAGAAATATGTTTGTATACATATTTTCTTAAAAGCAAATGGCACATGCAAGAAATTATTAATAAATGATAAAAATCCTTCTTAAAATTTATATTTTGATATGCACAAAGCACACCTCTTTCGGAAATCGACAAAAAAATATTAAAACAACATAATTATATGACTGTTAATTTTTTTTCACAAAATTCTTCATTTAGACATCTCATCAAAGCAGATGTTTTCAAAAAGCTGGATAAACGTATAATATTGTCCGCTTCATTTCAAAATGATAACAATATCAAATTTTGCTCATAATTTAATGTTAAGGTACCAACGTCAAATATAAGTAATTTTCATTTACTTTTTGCTTGACCATCTTACATTCATGTGAGTTTGATTAGTTAAGATAAGAAATATATCCCAGGTATTGAGTCTTATTGTTTGTAGGGCAAATATACCACTTTGTCAATGCCTTATCGTAGGAATAAATAATTTTGTACATTCTTGTCAGGCGGAGGCTAAACTAAAAGTTTCGATTATCGTAAAAACTAGATAAATACATGCTTTAAACATTTTTAGAGAATGAATAAGCTGGACCTTCATTTAAAAGTGTACATTTGACATTTAAAAAATGTTATAGCTGAGTATATCATTGTTACCAAAAGATTTGTTGTTGTTTTTGAAAGGCGTAGTAAAAATTTAAATATCGACAAGCTAGAAGTAAAATGTCAACTTGATATTTACTGGTAAATATAATGAGTAATATGTTAAATGAGTAATACTTATAGTCGACAGTTCAGTTCAAGCGGTTTGATTTTCTTTTGTACGAGTATATATATGATATTCAGGCTATATAGAATTATTTTAAGAATATCGGGTGTCCAGAATACATTTACAAGTCATGAAGGAATATGAAACAAAACGATATGTATGTTGGTCATTTAATGAATAATGGTTACTTAATATAAATAATTATAATCAATCTAATAAATAAACAGTGAATGGTAATTAGTGCCAACTTTTCACATTACATTTCATAACATCAAGAAAATTTCAATAAAGATGTTCCTCATCAATGTGGTTTATAGAGTGAAATGTTGCAGCATATATTAAAATCCGTGTACTTCTAAAAGACACTATATCATTTAAGAATTTGAAGAGATTTATCCGAATAAAAGAATAAGTAAGGTGTGATGATATACCTAAACCTATTATAACAAGTTTCGTCCGCTTCTATAATGTTTTCCTCTAGAATTTCGATAGCCTTTGTTTTTCGTGACACACTGGCTGTCATTTTGTTCCTTGCCTGTCGCCGCTCTGATCGGGAAGGATACATTTCTGAACAGTAATAAAAGATTAAAAAAAGAAAATATGAATCATAGGTTAATGAAGGGCAATAATAAAAAAATCCAAGTCCGCAAAAGCTTATTTAAACAAGATATATGAATACATATTCTATATGTTACAATCATAAGAATGATTATCTATTTCAAAGGCATATATCTAAGCTTTGGGAATTTTAAAACCAATCCATTTTGATAACAATTAGGATTTGCACAAAAGTTATTATTCGTAAAAAACAAATGATACATTTAGATGGATTGAAATAAATCACACAAAACAATTTTACAAGTGCAGATGGTATTTATTCATGATCACAAAACAATTATATCAATTAAGGCAGACATGAAACATGTTTTTCCCTTCTCACAAAAAAATACACGAAATCGAGTTTTAAACCTGAAGCTCCGCCATACATGTTTTCTTTCTAAAACAGTACTCCAAGAATTCAGAATTCTTCAAAGATATAAAAGAGGAGCAATGTATTTTATATTTTAAAGGAAACACGAGAAGATTTACTGCACAAATGTATTGAATATAGCGTGCCTTTTTGCTATTGCTCGCTTTTGAAGAATTCCTTTCTGAAAATTGCGTGTTATTTTTTGCCGCTTTTGCATTTGAATAATTCCTTTACAATATTTAAAAGTACATATAGTTAGTTTTCTTTATCCCTTTTTTCATTTCCCATTTAGTCACAAACTACAAAAGAAATGAGGTGTGTTCAAATACCATATATATCCAGCAATGATAGTTAATTTATTATTTGTACAGTTAGCGCTGTTGGAGTTTTCCTCTATTATATAATTAACGATATAATGTTTCTTTACCAGTTAGCCACACTATTTTGTTCTACATACCTTTACAGGATGGAGACACTCCCCGCCAGGTATATCCATCACAAAATCGCTCTCTATAGCCCGATAAACGATAGCCACGCCTACATACTGCTATCACAACACTTCCGCTATGATCAAAATACAGTTTTCCATTTGAAATATTAGCTGGTGGATCACATGTGGATGCTGAAAGAAAATTCTTATTTTTTCTAAAAATGAATTTTGGTAGTTTCGAAACAGATATAACTCAGCAGTTACAACCGTTTCGCACAAAGTTATCGATATGTTAATTTATTGTCGCAACATGTTCAATTATAGCGTCTTTAATAGTATTTTGAGGGCATACCATTTTAAATTATCAATCGGTTCGTGTACATGCAATCAAAATTAAAACCCCGGTAAGACACTAATCCTCGTTTCAGTTGGAAAACTAACAGTTTATTTTAAAGGGAGTAACAAGGAATTAAACTTGTATTCCCAGTATTTGCAGTCACACTCCAGACCCTACGACAGCACATTATCCTTCATTGATACTTCATGATAAATAAAATATGATCTGAAATATTTGCAACATAGGTATAATCGGCTATTATAAAGTAAAAGAAAAAACAACAAGAATTTTTGCTAAGATATTTCAAAAGAAATAAAAAGAGAGATAAGTAGGTGACTTTCATTGGTCTACCGGCAAGTCAATCCCTTTAGACAAGTTTCACGAAATCTTTATTTCAGCTTACTTTTCTTTTCAAAATCGAAGGAAAAAGAACAATTTGAACTTGTACTTTATAAATGCCAGAACATTCTTTGATACATTCCAAAAAAAGAGAAGAGTTAGCCATTGTTTTAGGAGGGTTTTGGCTGTTGAATTATTCATCAATTTCCAGTTTACAGCTAATTCTTTTATTTTAAATGATACACAGTATATAATATAATATTGTTCAACCTTTAATTAGAGATATTAGAGATCATTCAATGGTTACTTTTCGCCATAATCATATAGAAGGGTATATGATGCATACATGCTCTTTCCTTTTTTAAATATACGCATGTTTTTTTTCTGTCAAATTTGTTGTATGTTAGCTTTTATTCATTAGTCAGGTAATTTGTTTTTTTATTTCCTTTTATATAGCAAAAGAATGCCTGAAAATGGACATCTTTAGGAAACCTTTAAGGTATTCTTCAGTGTTATACTTCTACTATACTTGTTGATCAAAATTCTACTTAAGGCTATCAATTGATCTATTTAACTCTTTATACAACATAATCAATCTTTGCTTTGTGAGTGGAAAACCAAGGTGAACAACTACTTCAGAACATGTTTTGCATTTTAGTTCATATGTACACGTTATTCGACAATTTAATATTAAATGCACTATAATATTAATCATACAAAATGAACAAATTATGAATGATGGAAGAAAGGGAGAGTTAGATGAATGATTAGCGGACGAACGATTGAACGAATAATTTGGAATTGATGACGATTTGACAGCACAAGGTTGTACATCGCTAATCAAAATGCAAGTTATTGTGGCATAAAACCTTGAGTGTCTTTGTTTAGCCTCATGAGAATTACATGCAATCATTAAAAAATCGTAGTAATTTATTTTGTTTGTCAGAACATTGCATGACCTTGTCCATTTTCGGTCTTTTTTATGAAACCGAATGGATTATTAAACAGTTTTCTTTGTGAACGATAAAATATGATATCAAAATCAAGGACTAAAATACATCAGAAACTGTTTATACTTTGATAAGTCAACTAGACTCAAATGTCATATATAAAGGCAAATATTAACTTTCAAGTTAAAATTTCTATGATAACTCAGTTTGAAAGAGTGATTTTGGTAGAAAACTCGTCTTGTGTATTTATATAGTGTATTCCCAAGGTGTCAGCTTGCATGGTGTTTATATAGTATATAAATATTTAGTAGTTTAGGCCAGGAAAACGAAAATGTATTGTCATTGGGAGAGGTAAACATAATATTTAAATGACCAAGCAATTTACTACGGTAAGTATGAAGATTTAATCATGTGTGCGAATTTCACGCTTCCGTAGCTTATTGGATTCACTTGCATGTCAAAGTTATTGCACTGTGTTACCTCCGAAAACATTTAAATACACCTTTATTTGCGGGGTAGACATGTAACTTTTAAATGCGAGAAGTTTATAAAAGATGTATTGCTGGGCCTTTGTGTGTAGTAGTATTTGCGTTAAATGTACGGAATGCATGGAACGTAATTCGGAAACATTCCTGACTAAATCTTTTCTATAGTTCATTAATCATAACTATTTTTGACTATATATGGAAAATTTCAAGCTGTGTTTGATGTACTTAAAACGAATGTGCATTAGCTATAAAATCAGATATTTGAAATTGCGTCGTTGACATTGGCAAATAATTGGAGTTTATCATATCAAATTGGTTGTGACTTTGTGATTAGCAGGTATCTGGGTATACTGTAGTGTATGCTGAGGTTATTCTTTATTTCATGTAAGTACAATATTTCTTTATACAAATATTTTTTATTTTAAATATATATATTATATATTTATATTATTTTATATGATCTACCATGCTTGTTAAATTTGACTCAAGTTTTTTTGCGAAAAAGATATACAGTAACTGTTTGCATTTCCCTTAATCAAGGAAGTGTTTTAATTATAATCGATTTTGATAACGATTTATGAACTGTTATTATAATAGTTTTAAAAAGAAAACTCCATTATTTAGACTAAAATAGGGAATACAAAATACTTGCCACCAAAGCAATTTTGTGTAATTAAGTTGATAAAGATAATAAACAGGAATGTATGCTTGTATGGTTTTAGGTGAAAGTAATACATACAATATAGATATGACTGTCGTGTGTGTAATTAAATTGCGGAACGTATATCACTTCCTAACTTTGCGTTGTCTATCTATTTAGGTAAGAGGTAATATCTTATTTCATGTTCTAAAAAAGAAGTCTTCAAATAACAATAGACTGGGCAGTTTTGACAGGATCCCAATCACGACAGATATTAAGATTTACATAGTATCATATATCGAATGAGTCAGTGTATTAAAGCGAACTTTCATAACATTTCAAAGCTTTCAACACTTTTTATATACAGGTTTAAATAAAGGTCTGTTTATAAACGTTAAACGTGTTTTAAATGTTTATACCTTAACTGCATAAATATGTGAGAAAAGATGCATCCAAAATTTCTTTTTTTTTGTCAGATAAACACATACATGAAAGCGGACTATCGTTTTAAACAAAGGGACTGTTTTTATAGATGAAACCGCCTTCTAAAAGTTTACGCGCATTGATCCGAAAACATAAATCTAAAGTAAATAAAATTAACGCCTTAAATATAAAAGATTATATTTTTGATAAAAAATAATATAAATTTATGAAGAAATATTTGCTTATATACTTATGATAGTTTGCTGTTGTATTTATTCTTGCGTGTTATTGACAGATAAATTGATTAAACTTATATCTTCCTGAATATAGAGAGTTATTGATTAAATATTTGACTTAATCTGTAATGAATTAGTTCCATTTATCGAGCAATAGTTATGTTTTGATTTGATAAATATTTTCACGTATTTTATGATATGTGAAAGAAGTACATCTTTGACTGACCATTTAAAGGGCTCATTTATAATATATTGCAACTAAAAGATTCACTAACTTTATAACTTTTAAGACCTGCATAGTTTGTTGAATGGTAATACATTTTACTGAAAAAAGTACAAAAGTTCGCAATCTCTTAATTCCTTCGAGAATGTACAGACGGACATACATACAGACAAGAAGCCGACAAGCTAGCCAAATGATTGATATAACAACTTGGCTATCTACTACAGCTTGAATGCATTCCTGATCTGACACTGCGTGTGTGTATATGCATTGAATATATTTAAATTTATTTTATCTTATATCAGATAACTATGAAGCTTTATCCACAATAATCAACAAGTACCTCGACTGCATCTCCATAATTTATTACGAAAGCCATATTTGGTGAAATAAGCAAGTACAAAAACGTTTTATAAGAGAAGCTGTAAATACAGTGTGATGTACCCATAGGCAATGTAAATATTGTTGAACAAATAAATGCACTTGAAAAGTTTCTTGGCAATGAATTAACTTAACTTAAATTATACAGGAAATGCGTCCATAAATATCTCTATTTTTCCAAGTCCTGATTTGTATAAAGAAATTACTTTGAATACGGACTTTTAGATGTTTCAACATAAAAAATGATACCCCCTATCCCACGCAGAGTATGTAATAATTAAATCAAACTGGACTTTCAAGCCCTTTACTGACGGACTTTGTTTGTACAGTAGGATTCGTCAAATGGTTAAAAGTTGATCAAATGAAAGACAGGCATTGCATTGCAAAAGAAATCCTTTTGATTTTAAAAATGTTTAACCGTAACTTGTTCAATGTGATACTTAAACAAACCTGAACTGATCATTTCTGTCAAAAAGTTGATTGAGAAACTTGATTCTTAAAGTATACACGTGAACCAATTCAGTAGCATTAAGTGTCTAATGAATATTGATATATGTAAATAAACATTTATTCAAATTTAGAGAAATATATATCTCACTGTTTGAATCATATAAACCATTTTACGGTAGTGATAAAAAAACTACAAACGCGTTTCACTGATTATAAAAGATTTGAATTAAAATGTATGATGCAAGAATGAGCGACTGGGCTGCATCAAATAGCCACAAAACTGACATATATTGCGGATTTTGCAGTTAATGACAGACACGGCATGATGGATATGTTTTATTCTTCAAATATATTGTATAAAATGAAGTTACATGTAAAACGTATTATGACCAAGCAAATGTTTTCTGGTTTGCAAGTTACATGTATTTTAATAAGCTTAAGCTTCTACTCGTCGTGATAATGTGTACCAAAGATATCAAACCAAAATTATCATATATCGCTTGACAAGTATTACATTGTATGTCTTTAACTTTAAGTCTTATGTCGTGACTGCAACTTTTTTTGTTGTTACACTGAGCACATTCATTATCACAATACGTATATTACTTGCCAAAAGCAGTGTAAATAGTATGAAAATTCCGACAAAAATAGACTTCAATGAAATATTTTTATAAGTTCTCATCCTCTATATTTCTTGGGTAAGCACTGGTGTATTAAATGGTGATAAATGAAAAAGCTTAAATTGAAAATATAGCAGGCTTGGTTTGGATGAGACTGTTCATAGACGGTAGTGGTAAAAAAAGCTACATGTACCTTCCACCCCCCTTAGCATCGGCTTAGTAGAATTTTACTTAAAAATAACATTCATACGGCAGTTATCAATGCATCTACAATGAAAGCGGCGTGTGGTCCCCAAGAAGATAAGCGTGTGACCTAAACGAGAAAACAATGCGTAGAATTCTTTTTAATCTTTCTCTTTGATTAAAACTACCCATATAATATTTGCATGTTTACAAATGATAAGTAACATCACATGCTGTTTTGTTGATATAAAATGAATTCTGTGCATGTCTTTGTACTCTTTATCAACAGAAAACTTCAAAATACATTGCACCGATGGACTCACTATAAATCAAACGTTGGTTCGGGTTAAAATGCACTTTATCAGTATTTGTTACGGAAACTAAAACTGCACACCATTGCATGTGGCATTATATCTTAAAACAAATATCAGCATTTACACGTTTATAGCCTCAGCAAATATAGATAAAGTGTGAGAAGAAAAGATCTTTGAATGCAAATATGTTGAGGTAAACTGTCAATTTAATAAAAAAAAAATTACCACGAAAGATAAAGAAAATCCCGATGCTTTTTTGTAATCTAACGCATATTTGGTATTAGAATATTTGCCAAATAAACCCTATGTAAGGAAAAGATCAGGGCAACATCAAGGAAAAAATTTCATATAAAACTGCCAGGGCTGTGTGGAGAGCGATTAAAATGGATTAATTATGGAAGATTTTCCAATTGCGTGACATGCACCGGTATACCTGTTTCAATTTAATACCATATATAAATGCACGAACGCTGATTAAAGTAATAAAATATGCGTTAAAATGTGGGCGTTTACGGAGCCGATCATTCCTTTTATAATACCTGTGATTTTCTAATGCAAAAATGATTTATCTCTGCATCAATATATAACAAAACATAAAACCTTTATAACAAGTGTTCCGCACGGGTCATGGCATATAAAATGTTATCCTGTTAAAGTGATAAAAGACAAGTATTTATGTTCAAAATGACGCATCTAAATTGAATTTATTAATATGCATATGTTGCTTTCAAACATATTTGATGGGAACTAGGCCAGGTACAAAATGCACTAAAGTATTTCCTACCAATAACAAAAAATCATGGTTTTGTACTTTTAAGTGTTTATATAGTAAACACAAACATAATGACAACTCGAACTGTACTTTACCAGACATTTTTTTTATTAAATTTGCCCGAGAAGTACAAAATAAAACAACATTAAAATAGAAGTAAAACATCATCTGCAATAGCAACATTAATAAAAACAAAACACATAATACAATACTGGAAGGCATAGTTTGATTAGTACTCACAAAACATATATAAATAAACACCATTAAACCATATATGAATGAACATAAACATGACAATGAAAGCAGCAGTAACAGAGCATCTAATTACATATAAACAGGAACCGCAGGACATATATCTGGCGAAACAAGAAAAATAAAAATATAATATAATTATACAATATAATAAGTAGATAAAGATATACAATACGTAGAAAGCAAAGCAACATAAACAGGACATAAAAAGAAAAGTATAAACAGACAAATTAAACAACAGCAACAAGACATAATATCATTTGGCATGAAAGAGATCAAGACAACACTATTATTTGGCACCAAGAGACAATATTATTTGACACAATTTAATATTTTTATTTGGCATCAAGACTGATAATATTATCTGACATTAAGACACAATTTAACACTTTTGTTGCATTAAGACATAGTATTATTTGACATTAATTAAGGCGCATATAATTTGGCATTAAAGCACAATATCATTTGACATTAAAGAATCAATATAATTTGACATCAGGATAACAATATTATTTGGTCTCAAAACACAATATTGTTTGGTATAAAGACAAAATATTATTTGGCATCAAGACATAATATTATATGACATTAAGACACATATCATTTGGCATTAAAGCACATACCATTTGACATTAAGACTCAATATCATTTGACATCACGACAACAATATTATTTGGCATCAAAACACAATATCATTTAGTATAAAGACATAATATTATTTGGCATCATGACACAATATCATTTACACGATATCATTTGGCATCAAGAATATAAGACAACATAATTATATAACCTTGCAAAAGGCATGAAAAATAATCACCATAGATATGGGCAACGACGGTAGGCGTTGGCTAAATTCTTGGGATACTATTTTATATGAAATGGAGATA